TGCGCATTGTGGACCGAACCCATCATTCAGTGGAAGGCTGGAAATAACTCAGGTTCTACTGACTTGTTTGGACAAAATTTTGATCTGCACTGGCTGGAATGCATAACATCTTAGACACTGCCAATGCTTCCAACAAATCCATGAGGCATTAAATCTCAGGGTTACACTGGTTTCTGCTGCTTGTTTACAGCACGACCCAGTGGAGAGGTGGATGAGCAAATCTGACTCTGTAACTGGATACAGGAGCTCAAGCTACAAACATTCCCCCGTTTTTCCTCCAGGAGCCTTTTAAAAAACAAATAGACCCCAGGAGGCTCTGAGAGGCCTCATCTTCTGTCAAGAATTTACTGAACACCACAACCTGATCCTGAAAAATCAATAAAACACCTTCTGGTGATGAAGTCTGCATAGCCCTTCTTTTTTTTCAACATGTATTTGTTGTGCTATTTTTCATTATAATAATGTATCACTATCTCTGATTTATTATTATTTTCTGATAACTTTTACTTTTTTATCAGGAATATTAAAACAAACAACAATATAACTGATCTTTTTAATTTTGTGGATGAAGGCCAAAGCAGTTATTTATGTGAATAATAACTGTGATCTGCACTTTAAAAACAGGAGGATGTGGCACTGGCGTTAATGCTGATCGCTCTGAGCATCCTATTCGTCAAGTGAAAGATTCCAAAATACTGAACTCGCCTCACTCGCCATTAATTATTCTATTTCACTATTACTCTATTTTGCATGTTATACAAGCTTTAATCCCCAATCCAAGTGAATAAGGAGCTATGAACATACACTTTTCCAACCCAGAACTATTGAACATTGTTTCCTGTCAGTTGATGGTTTATTGTGTAAAGGAAGTCCATCTGTATCCTGTTTTAATTATGTATTGATAAGACCTCAGGGACTGACCTATTTCAGTACTAGCAGGCATTTAGTAGGCCAATGTGGTACATAATTACAAAGAAATCTACATGAAGCACTCTCAGATGTCAGTGGTTCTACATCAAATTTGTCTTTTTTTTCTATTGACCCACCCCTCAAAAAGCAGTCACACTATTTGACAACAACAGAATGATCTTAAGTTCAGGGCTAGTGGACAAAACACACAGCAACCTATCTCCTCATTTTATCAATGAGCGTATTCTATAAAAACGATTTTGATGGATAGAACCTCGGTTTCATCTGTGCACCAGAGGCTGAAAAGGATAACCCCCCAGATGAAAAGCCATGGGAGTGAAGATGATCTGATTTGATATAGCTTGTGCAATCATCCTGAAATCTGCTGAACTGTTAAAGTATAGCACGAGAATTATAAATAACGTGTCAGTAGATACTGAATGTTGTGAAAAAAGAAATAGAATCTAGCTTTTATGGTTTAGGTTGTAAAGATCTGGACCCAAACATAACTTTGAACACCGTAGGGAAAATTTTACAAGCATAATGGCGAGTGCTGTTAGGCGTTTTCCTTCTTCTTTGGCTATTTGACAGTTGGAGATCCTCCCTCCCATGATTTATGAGAGGATGTTTCCACTTGCAGATCTGCAAAATTTTGACACGTCTTATATATACATTTTTAATGAATCTATTACATTTTTGCTGGGAAAAAAAGATCAAAGTATAAATAAGTTTGTGCTATGCTCTTAAAAGAAATAATAAATGTATTCTTGTATCAGAAATTCTTTTCAAACTGGTTCCAACTTTGGCATCTTTAAATGAATATTGAGCTTTGCTTGTTCAGACAGTCTCAGAGTTTCTATGTTTTTCGTTTGACCGCTTAAACTAAACTGCAGCTTTTTTGGATGAATCTCAAGCTGTAAAACAACATTCATGACTTGGAAATGGAAAATCCTGCTCCAGTAATAACCATGTTGATAATCACACCTGGAATTGTTTACGGTCCGGTTGCAGTTTCTTTTCCCGATCCGACAACATATTATTGGACTTGATAATGCGTTTGCTCGCTTTACTTTACTCTGATTTTTCAATGTCTGTTTTTCTCTGAACACGTTAGTGTCCACTGTGCTTCAGTTTGAATGCTGGCCACTTTCCAGTCAGCTTCTGGTTGATTGCAGAGCTTCCTGGCAGCTACAAAGTGCTCTGTGCTCCAAAGTAGGACTACCACATAAACAGAGGAACTGCAGGTGCTGCTTCTTATCCGCTTTAACTATCCGTCAACTAATGCTGAAGAACAGGCACATCTTAACTATAGCCATCATGAAAACAGAAAAAGGCACAAGTAAACATTTAGATTACAAAAAGGGTAAATAGTTCTTCTCTTAGGTAGCCGCTCTCCACAGTTCCTGTATACAGATTTCAGACAATGTTAACCTGATATTCGCTGGACCTCCATGTCCTCCCATCAAAGCAGTCCAGACCCTGATGTGTTTGTGTGCTGCAGCAACTGTTGCTACATTTTGAAAAGGTTAATCTAAATGCTTGATGGAAACTAAACTTGTTATAGGAAACACATCCACAGCTTTAAAGGGAAATAGTTTGTCTAAAAAACATTGACTAAAATAAACTTTTATTATTTCATCCCACGTCTCGCTGAAAGATGTGAATTTAAGATTACCACATAGAATTTCCACCTATCTCTGGAGAGATGTTTGACTAAGGATGGAGGGAATATAACTGAAAAACTGAGGTACCACCAACAATGCACTTTGACAATCCTTCAAATCATATTTAAGAAATATTCTGAATTTTAACACTGATGACGTCAGTGTGCAGCCAGTGCTGAAGGAAAAGTAATGGGTTCCCCATGGTCAGCAAGATTTGTCATTAGGGGACAATGAGCGTTTCTACATAAACATCATCTGACAGCAAATGAGAAATTCAAGAGTGGAAACTTTTGTCTTGTGAATCCTTTCCATAGAACACCAGACAGCCTACCTCCAAAACTCTCTCTTTATTTCACGCTCTCATTAATTTAACCAGCCACAGCTTTTCAAACAATCACATAGCAGGAAAATGTCGCTGAGTGCTCCCGATTCTTGCCTGATTAGAATTGTGTGAGGTTTACTCCTAAAAATGCTGACATCACGCATCAGCTATTGCTTTGTTGTTTAACTGCCGCCAAGCATGGAAGACCAAAATGGAAGGCAATACGAAGTGAGAATAAATATAGACATGATAAGAGTAATTTAACATACAGTGAACTCTTTAAGTGTAGCTAAAGCCATGTTTTTAAACATCTAAATTGTCATTTTGTTAAATGAAAAGTTATAAATTAGTTTGATTCCATTTTGAATGGCTAAACATGCCATAATATGAATACCATATGTATTTAACAAAATGAGACACACATTCCTATGAACTAAACTGAACGAGTAACCTTTTTTTTTTCTTTCAAAATTAGCACTGTGACGTCATTAATGACATTAAGAGAGAACCGACATATTCAAGACTGATAAGTACCTTTGTGAATTAAGTCAATATTATCTTAAGACAAGATCTGGCTGTATGAAATCATTTTCGAGTTCCAGACAGTGGAAAACCAGGCACTTAATAATAATGAAAACCAGGGACTTAATCACAAGCAAAAATCTTGCAACTCCACAGAGTCAGTATGTTCCATTTGGTCAAGCAACACATTCATAACTCCATTTGTTTAGTCTGATAGATGCTACTGGCATTAGCGTTTACTGTCTGATGGAAAGAGAACAATCCAAAAGGGGTAAAGCATTCGGTCTTTTGAATAATGCCAGTCACCTTCTCTGAGCCTGGCTTATGTACCTCGTTACTGCTCTGTCGTTCTTGTTTGTGTCACTGAAGTAAAGACCAAAGCCGGTTATTGTCAGTGTCAGCTAAGTTATTTCTTGTAAAGAAATGTCATACATATAAAGAAGTATTGAAATGTACATTTGTTTCTGTTTTCCTCAAAAATAGTGATATTATTCATAGCATGTAGGGTGTGAAGACACAGTCACGTTTTTTTGTGCCACTTTCCAGGATAATTTTTTCACACATTCATTTGTTATAAATCTTAACTGAAATAATAGCTGTCAAAAAATTCAAACGCATTTTTAAAAAGGCATAAAGCAGAGTTAAATATGAATACTCAAAATACTTAAAAGTGTATCTTGGCTGAACCTTTAGGTTACATAACCAATGGCATATTTTCAGGAAACTCTCTACAAAGTAATCAGTTTCTGGTTCAAGAACAATTTTTTATTTAGATGTATTCTCCGAAATTTGATATAGATTAGTTGATATGAAAAACCATAGCATCAAAGTGTAAGATTAGAATGGCACCCATATATTTCCACACACACAGCTTGTGATGTACATGAAGTACCATCATTTTGAATGTTAGGCAGCATGAAAATTGTGTCATCAAACCGCATCCTGTGGAGTTAAGTACTGTTTTGCCTGTTCACTTCCTCCACCACATGACTTTTAAATATCAGGTCAAGCTGACTTGACACTTATAAGTTAATCAATTCCGTTAGGAAAGCAGATCGGTGTGTACGTTTCTGTCCAATAGAATCTGTGCTGACAACATTAAAAGTGTGCAAGTCTGCATTTATCTTAAATGGTTTATCTGCCCATAAAAGCCTTATCTGAAAGGCTTAAGGCAGAGAGGCTAAGTAATAGTGCCCTCTACTGTGCAGTGGTGTGCAATAACCTTAAAACATCAAATCGTTTGTTTACCTCAACATTTTTGCTTTGTATTTTCATTTTATTTGTTTTACCCTCTTATTCAGAACTACCTGAAAACCTTCCATTGATTCATATATGCAGGAAATACTGCCTTGGACTTCATAAATAAACTATGTTTTAAGTTTAGTGTTGGATTACAATCCATTTTGTCTGTTATCTGTAGACGTTAGGATGTCTTTTCATGATTGAATTATAAAACATAGTAAAGTTAAAGGCTTACCAAAATAAAATGCATTCCTCAGAAAGTGGATGGCACAAGGAATGGACAGACTTTCTACTAAAAAAGCATTTTAAAGCTCAACAACTTGAAACCAACTTTTTTTTTATTACAGACTGCATGTGCTTCTGTTAGCATGATACATCAATTATCAACATCAGAATATATATGGCTCTGATTTCAAGGTACATAAATCACTCAACAAAATACCCTGTTCAGACAAACCAACGATACAAAGTGCACAAATTAAGTTGTTTCAAGTCCACTGCATCACATGACAGAACTGCTGTTGTGTTTTAAGAAAAACCAACAGAATTAAAGCTTACATTCAAAATCCTCCATTTCATGTGACAGTATTTATCAGCTCCAGAAGTAATAATCCCCATGCATCATATTAAAATGACCCATGCTCACACACACGCACACACACAAACACGCGCGCGTGCACACACACGCTCATATAAATAGAAACTTAAATACAAACGTATTTGGCACCATGTTTCAGCATAGAACAAAAACAAATAAATAAAAAAGCCACTTGCAGTACGACATTGTTAGCATATGGAGGTAAGTATTTGATTTTGGCACGTTACAAGTCCAAAGTTTAAAAAGTTCATGTAATCCTGCTCATTACAGGCTCAGTCTTCACTGAAAGGTTTCATAGTCTGTGTTAAAATAGCCCGCCTAAATGTTAGCTTCACAAACAGCTTCTGACTTTGTGGTAATGAAGTAGTGAATGTTGAATGGCAAGGAAAGCACCACATTTCCTTGGACAGTTATGAAAAGGTCGCAGCTCTTCAGCGCCATAATGAGTAATGTAAACAAATGGCAACAAACAGCGTGACCTGTGTAGACCCTTAAAGCCGAGATGTCAAAGGGATGTAATCATATATTGCACTCTAGAAGTCCTCACTGCACAAAGGGGTTGTCCTGGCCTGTTCAAACCATCAAACAAAAGGTTGGTCTATAGATATAGAATTAATAAGGTATTCAGTAATACTATGTTTATTATAAGATATTGTGTATATTAACATCGATATATATATTTTTTCAACATTATGATATGAAAGATACATATTTATAAATTGCTATGAATATAGGCCGCTGCTTTTGTTGAGCAGTGCCAGATATAACATAATAACTATTCTATGTTCACGTATTCTCATCCAAACAAATACAAATAAATGCTTTCACGCGCAGCTCGCGGAGCAAGCCAGCATGAAACGTCATAGTGAATATGAATTGAAGCCTCCCATGCACAGAGAGGTTTCAATACAGGTCGAGACTGGTTTCCAAACAGGCCAGCGTGAACCTTAAAACCTCAGCATGCATGCTAAGTAAACAGCAATCTCTGGTGGGCACATAGAAAAACTACAGTTTAAGTAGATATAGTGTGGAGTGTTATGTTATTGGAAATCGGGGGAGCACTGTAAACGTCTATCTGGGGTTGCGCTGAACATCCATCTGCAATAAATATAGTCAACAACGGCCTGAGACCGTCAACGAGGCATTACAGCCTCCGGTTTCCAGCCTCTCTACCTCAAGACACACTATATTTGCACCGACATTTATATTAGTTTCACATCAGAAATCTATCTTAGAGCAGCAGAAACACATATGCACTGGAAACTGGAATGGACAGACAAACATTTCCTTCACTCCGTGGAATCTGTGTTAACCTCCGTCTGTGGTGGGGCACAGTACTATGTGTTGAGATGTGAGCTAGTGAGAAAAACCTGCGGGAAAACTCCAGCTATGTATGTTTGTCGGAGACAAAAACACATGCAAGTTTTATGCCTCAGGCTTGACTGGCAAGCTGCCCTTCATCCTTGGTAACTCCGCTGTATCTTCCACAGATGTACCAAACCACCAATCAGAACCCCTAAGATGAACAAATATGCAAACACTCTACTCTACATGTAAGTAGCCTGATTCCAGAGACATGCAGGCAATGTCCACCATCACGGATGGCTAATTCACTAACAAGTTTAACAACAAACTCTCGTGAAGCCCGGTTGAAATAAGGGGCGGGTTTAAAACGCCGGCGGCATGCACTTTGCAACTAAACCAAACCGCAAACGAAGAAAAAAGGCCATAATCTTATTCATAACATAACTCCACGTTTGTCTATGCAAAGTCACTCGACACTGGAAGCTCACAATAACCACGATCCTCAAGCAGAAGCAAAAAACTGCGTCGAGCTCTACCTCTATCACAAGCCGGCTTTATCGGAACAATCACACTAAATATCAGTAATCTACAGTTCTGTTTCTAACTACTCTGTGTGTTATAAACGCCTTAAAACGTGGGGAGCTAAAGGTCAGAGCCGCCCCCCACTGCGTCCGAGCGTCTCTGCAACTGCCGGACGCCACGCCACGCCGCCGCCCGCCTCAGTGTCCTTCAACCCAATGTGCAGAACCCATTTCAGCCCCCGCCGGGGAGCGACGTGAAAATAAAGAACGTTTTGCACCCAAAATGTACAGCGATGGCGGTGGTGTCACGCGCGGACCACCAGGTATGACAATGCCAGCGTCGCCTGGACTGAGGAGCCACATGCAGCCAACAGTCGCCCACATGTGGGTCTCCCTGCAGCCGCCGGGGGGGCGGTAGGACGCCCCCGAATGAGCCCTAGCAGGACCATGACTGAGCCAAAATGAAGCTTTATGGTCAAAGAGCTGCCTGGTTGCCAAAAGTGTGCCAACCCCCCACTGCTGATCCGTCTAGAGGCCGGTGAGGTCCACGATGGCTTTGATAAAGATGGTGTCGTCGCGGATGTAAGAGTTCTTGGCGTCGAGCTTGGAGAGCGGGCAGAAGAGCGGGCAGCCGCTGGCGATGTTCATCTCGCTGACGGGCCTCTGGAAGGATGAAGAGGTGACGTCCGGTCGGAAGGCGTCGATGATGTGCTCCCTGTTGCTCTGGTCCAGCAGCATTAGCGTCACCTGGAGGTCAGACCGGAAAGAGACGGCTCTTACATATTTAGTTCATCTGGCGTGTGGAGGGTAAACATTTGTTGGGGAAATTTTCTGAATGTGTTCGCTGAACAATTCTTATCCCATCTCAAAACCCTTCAGTTAAACTCCCACTGAAACTGGATCGTATCCACAATGCACCTTCATTAATCTCAAATGGCCTCAAAATACAATCAAATAAAAACCTCTTTTCATTGGTTGTGAGCCTAAATTTGTGCCTGAGGTGTCTACCAAAATACAGAAAAAAGCCAAATCTGTCATTACATCATCTTTAAAGAAGGGCCTTATAACTTACTAATGCACAAAATGCACCTTCAGCAGAACTAAACTTCCCTCTGGACCTTTACTGAGGACGGACAAACACGACTGGACAGTTGTTCAGCACTGAAAAGAGAAACCCAGAGCAAACACGCTGTTTGCGTATGTCCTTTACCTTCTGGTTGAATGGCCATTTGAGCAGAGCATCACTCAGTCCTCTCATCACCACAAAGAACAAAGACAGGTGGCTGCCACGCCCTGTCCCGTCTCCATTCAGGTAGATCCGCAGACACATCTTATAGCCGTACTTGCTGGTATAAAAAGCTGGAAAGAAAAATAAAAAAGCGAGCATCAGCTGCATGTTTCTGTATTTAGTTTTTAAACAACTTATGCTACCCAGATCCTGGTTACAGAACATAAAGCAAAGCTTTTTTTTGTATTTTGGACGTTACCTGGTGAGAACATGGCGGGGGCTCGACCTGCAATGGCATCCTGTCGCTTTTTGGCAAAATCGGAGATCCTCCAGATGAAGACGCCATCGAAAGTGGTGGCAGACATTTCCCTCAGCCGTCCCTCCATCTCAGCCACTGCGAGGTCCTTCAGCCCCACAGTCCTCTCCAGCTGGCGGACCTGCAGTGAAGGACATGCCAAAAGTGATGTTTGTCAGTAATTACACAACTTTCTACTCCGATTCCCATGTGCTAAGGAAGAGCGATCACAAATGAACCCCTTGCATAGATGTCAAGATTTTGGTGAAATAGGTTAAGCTCTCTTAAGACAAATGCATGTTCATTTCCTTATGTATCTTTTTCATTGTTTAGTTGTCTTCCATATTAGGATCTGCTGTAATGAGTCACAATGGATGAAAAGCAGATCAACAACTGTGACTCAGAAGCATGTCTTCCTCAGATCACCAATAAATATCAACTTTGGCTGTACAGCACCCCCTATGGGTGTATTACCTAAATATATGTTATGTATGTGTAATTAACACATGAGATTCATTTATGTCTGTTTGGTACAGGAAATAAATGACAATAGATTAAGAACCAGAAGAACCATATTACTAGACATTCAGATCTGTTTTGTCCATCTATGTATTATCCTTTAAAAATCAATTTATGATACTGAATACTCCTTATAGATAAAATTATATTTATGGGATTACTAAATAAATTAATGGAGGTATCTTGAGTGCCACATTTTTCTGTTGATCACTGGATTTCGTACCTTGTTACTCAGAGCCTCGATTTTATCCTGGTCCAGTTTATGCTGCCGGTTGCTGGCCTCGATGGTGGTGGCAAATCTCTCCACCTCTCTGTTCAGGACACACACCACGTTTTCAAACGTGCCGGATTTCACCTCGAGTTCAGTGCATCTGCGGCCCAGCTCGGCCACCTTGGTCTTCTCGCTGTGGAGCTGGAGCTCCAGCGCCGCGCCCACCGAGCTGGGCAGGGGCGTGAAGGAGGTAGACACGGAGAGGGTGGGGGGGAGGGTCGGAGGAGGCGGGAGGGGAGCTGATGCAGGCGGGCCGGGAGGGCAGGAACTAGAAGAAGAGGAGGAGGAGGAGGAGGCGGCAGCTCCCTGCACGGGAGGCCCAGAGGAGGTGGTGCTGAGCAGGGAGACTCTGGCCTCGAGTTCCCTGAGGGATTGTTGGAGCTCTACCAGTTTGTGTCCGGCCACTTCCAGTCCCTGGGGCTGCAGGCCCTCCATGCTCACTTTCATGCCCATGATGTAGTGCAGCAGCAGGTTGAGGTGCTCGTAAGCAAAGGCGCGCTCATGGTCATGAATTTTTTCCTTCTCCACCTACAAAAAGAGAGAGAATTAATAATAGAAACAAGATAAGAATGAGAACCAATCAAATGTACAAGGCCTGTATGGCAGAGCTGAATCATTTGGAGGAAACTTAATCTGGAATAGGTTCTGCAGACTTTGCAATCAGGCAAACAGCTATCATGTAAAAAAAAGCATACATGTAGCATTTGAATACAATTACTGAGAAATACTTACAGACATGTCACATCCTACAACATGAAATCGACATGGAGTTCTGAATTTGCTGCAGAATTTAATATGGTCCACATACTGGAAAAAGAAAAACAACCAGTAGATTGAATCATGTGCATATTCTTTATACATTTTGTGATATTTTTAGGGAAGAAATTTCATTACAACGCAACAATTCTCAGCTTCATAGGCCAAACATGGACATTTTTTTTCCTCTTCTTTTGGTACTAGATGATCTTTTGTTAATTTACAATCTACACAGTAATAATTCAACTTTTTTCTTCCTGATCAGTAAACTCCACAGAGTTTCTAATGCTGACAAATCTTACAGCTGCTCAAACATTATACAAATATATTTTGCACAATGAAATCATTGTAAACAAAAAGAAATTGGCAGCTTATCTCTGACAAAAACACAACCGAACTATAACGATCTTCAATGAGAGGCCCAAGCAAGACGTTTTACGCTGAGGCCAAAATGTGACGCGGGCTATAAACAGCCGTACCTTTTCTCTGGGTATTTTCTTCTTGGCACAGCCTTCACAGATCATTGGGTACTTGGGGCAGATCTCATCATGTGCCTGAAAGAAGTGACAGAGCATCCTTTAACACAAAACAAACAGCCACTGTGATTTGCTGCTCGGCCCCGGAAGAGCCGAGCTGAGCGCCTCGGGTCTATATAAATAATTTCTAACCTTGATGTTTTTGAAGTGAAACGGTTCCTTGCAGTACTTGCAGTTGAGCGTCCTCTCCGGGCACTCTCGCTCATTATGCCGCTCCTGCTCATTGAAGCGGATTCGTTCTTTGCAGGAGGGGCACGGGATGATCATGAACTCGCACTTCCCCTCGTGGTTCAACTGTGGAGAGAGGAGTTTACGTTGAGTTGAAGTGACAGAATGGTAGCAGCTTCTTCTGTGTACAGAAAGGACAGAGTTGTGCAAACACTTTAAGCGCTTTCTACGCTTAAATTCTGATTCATCACCATCAGGAAGACACTTCAGGAACATTCTGAACCATGATGAAGTCCAAACACACAGCCTGAGTCATGGAGAGGCATGTTCAGCCTCAACAAGAACAAGAAGTTCTGCAGCAGATCATGTGGCAAATCCCGGAGGGACAAAGCCATAAATAAAAACCACAATTATGTTGTTTCTTACAAATACAACACTATTTATACACACGTGGTGACCACACACGTTAAGGTTTCCAAATACACCGGCTACATCCAGTCACTGGTGCTTCCAAGGTCACTATTAGATTTCAGTCTTAACACATTTATGTAGAATATCATTCTTAATTTCAAGAGCAATGATTTTTTTTCTTTTCCTCCTTTTTTCTATGTTAATGTGGCAATGTGTCCCCAACAAAAAAAAACACATGTGAGCATAAAGCATTACATTTTCTACATAAAATGAGATTGTTGTGTTTTTCTTTTAAGTTTTAAACAGAAAATTAGAGCATACTATTAATGGTCCTCTGTGTGAAAAGGTTGGTTTGCAAACTTGTGCTTTGTTTTTCAGAGTGGGCTTGAAACGGTGTGACAAAAAGTTAATTTACGAAAAGCAAGCACTGGCGCATGGCCTCACCTCGTACTCTTTGATCGTGCCTTTCCACGTGCAGTTCTCATTGATACAAGCCGCAGACAGACCTTCAACTTCTCTTCGAACTGCGTTGTCCGGAAAAGCCTGAAACACAAAACAGGAGGTTTGAATACTGTGAAATCCCACCAGAAGCATCCTGAAATAAATATCAAATGTCCCAATTGAGAAATGTACCACTCACTCCATCATGTTTGCAAATGAGACTTAGAACTTTATAGACCATTTTTGAGAGCCTCTCCACAACTACATTTGTAATAGCTTCTGTATTATTCAGATTGAAGTTTGTATACATTCTTATAACGCTTTAAAACTTTACTCTGTAATTGGTTAATGAAACAAAGTCAAACTCACACATCCTTGTTTCAATATCGATGTCGGCTCCTCAAAAATATCCTCTTTAATGCAAGCGCTGCATTTCTGGGGTCCATTACTGCAAATAAAACATGTCAACACACACTGATACAATGTTCATAGGAAACATGCAAAGAAAAGGCCCAACTGTCAGCCATGGGAAATGACTGAAATTGATTTTTTCACTGCACAGGAAGACAATTTCACACTCTTTCAAAACGTTCAAAACAAGGTTTCTTTAAACACCTTTGACTGGAGTTGAATGGCATCACATTTACGCGGATGATCGTCTGTTTTACGTTTCCTTAGAGCTGAACACAAAGATCGGTGTCCTTCTGAGGTTCATAGAGTTCATAAATTGTGTAGGTCTGTTTGACTAATAAGAATTCCTTTCTGACTTGCCTTAGCAATTCATCTCAGTCAACAGTCAGCAGACAAAGACATCTGGAGGATCTCTAACTGTGCTAGCGCTCAAAGCTTAGCGTGGTCAAACCAAACCTACTCCTCTGATAGACTTACAGTACAGTAGGACTCTGATCATGGGGGTTGGACTTTGGTTCATGCTTCCATTGGCGTTCAGATCTATTAAAGATGTGGACACCTACCAAAAGCATGCTTACATCTCAGTTGTTTACCCTGCGCTTTATTTTTGTCGTTGAGAACATGAAAACCTGTCAACCATTAAAATTAAATTGTAAACATGAAATAAAAATCATTTGCAATATGAAAATGCTTTATATAAACACCTTTTTTATATCTCATCTGTCTCATCTGTAGATCCTGGAAAGTTACAGACTCGCTACCTCTGTATCTCATTAAGAAGCATTCTTCTTGCAATATGCAAATATATACAAATACCTCTATTATCCGTCAAAAGTAACATAGCTAACTCACTATATTATTTTTCCCTACATTTAAATATTTTGGTTTAGATTTTGTTCCCCATAAAATGCAGTTGTAATACTTACTGTGAGCTATAAATCAAATCTGCCAATTGTCAGTGATCTGAATGTTTATATGAACTTTTGTCAACTCTTTAAACTAATGTTTTAAATACCTATATTTATGGGAGTTTTTGTTCTACAGTATTACTTATTTGCTGAATTAAATGAAGGGACAACTTAATCTCTCCCTAAAACTACTGACGAGAAACTTCTTTGTGGTCGATGACCATGGGGTCCTCACCTCACGGTCCTGTTGAAGCAGTAGGAGCAGAAGCGGTGTCCACACTGCGCCTGAAACGGCCGTCTGAGGATGTTGTGGCAGCAGTTGCACAGATGCTTGTCCTCCAGATTGTTGCCCAGGATCTTCTTGGGGAAGCCGGGTTTATTGCTCTCCATGGACGAGGGTGGGGACGGTTCCTGTGAGGCCATGGTGTCTGTTCACACGTCACACCTGAGAGAGAGAGGCCAAAGGTCAAGTCCTGGAGATACTGGAGCTAATCTGCCCCCCCCCCCCTTTCCCACATGATTGCTTAAATATTTCACCCCAAGAGCAGCTAGTGAAACAAAATATCTATCTGGAATGTCTTTACCACAAGCTACTGAGGAGAAAGTAGATGGGCATCTAACCAAGTGGGGGCAGGTTTAAAATCACAACTCTAAAGAGGAATTAACAGAGCTGTTTGACTAACATGAGAATAGCGAAAAATGTTTTAAATACGTCCATAAACTCAAGCACGCCTGACCAAGAGTTTAAAAAACAAGGTTTGTTAGGTTTACAATAACAGAATATAAACAATGGAAGCAGCTGAGAAGCCGGTGAAGAATCAAATCCTGGTGGGCCTAAATGATGTTTGTAAAATCTTATTCTCTTGTGATGAACAATGTTATCAGTCTGTCAGCGTGTGTGTGTGTGTGTGTATGTGTGTGTGTGTGAGTGTGAGTGTGTGTGAGGCAGAGCATCACAGGCCAGCTGTGAGGCCCACACCCTTTGTTTACATTTCTACACTGCTTTCATGGCTCCTGATTCCTTCCCTGGGAACAAATCGGGGATGCTTTCATCCTTGTGCTCCCACCACCGCTCGCTGGGCTCAGCAGAAGAGGTGGCACAGCGCACATCCATTGTCTCTGCTCTCTCCATCCCTTTCTCTTCCCCGTCTCTCTGTTGCTAAGCTATCAGCATCCTTTAGTCAGTAGTGGTACCCAGCACGCCACCACGCCCCTTTGAAAGCTGAAGCCCGCTGCCTACGAGAGACCGTTTAACGAGAAAAGCCCCTTTTTCTTTTTTTTTCTTTATTTTTCTTTTTTACAAACGCTTTTACAATCACCAGAGTTTGCACTTACCAGTCTTTTAGTCTAAACTGTCATCGCGTGCACAGGCTGAGAAATCCCCCCTTCCCGGTCGCAGGTTGACGCTCGCGAGCTGCGCCGATATTTAAATGTGGTTCGGAAGCCGGCGTCTGGGGGCGATTTGTTTAACGTCAGCCACATAATACAGATGTGGTCCCCAAACGCGATGGCTGTTACTGTCCAATATCGCCATTGCACTTTCAGACAGGGGCGTTACGTCATGCGGTGTGCCGAGCGCGGGTTGACAGGCAGAACGGGCTGCGGAGGCGGCCCTGCCATTGGTCGAGAGCCCGGAGGGGGCGGGGCCTCGGGCCGGAGGAGCCCGTAAACATCCACAGAACTGACTTCATCCACGCATCACATACTTCTTTCTTCTTAATGCCTCCAACGACTTGCATCTGTCCTTTTTTTTATTTTTATAAATATATACACCATTGTGCTTCATCACGTTGTTTGAAATGTGAATTTAGGTCTGTAAAAATGCACATTTAGGCATCAATGCACAGACTTCTCATTTAAAGCATCAGGTGGTAAAAAATACTTTGATTTTTAAAGGTCAAAAGTGTGTAGCCTACCAGGTCGTGCATGTTTGCCTTTAAACCTGTACTTCACTATGTTTAATTTTTCTTTTGTTGAACTTTTTCTTACAGTGTACTTTTATGGAACAAGACTCAAATTAAGTTCATTCCAGTCTAATTTCATTACAAAATATTCAGGACATTAAAACAATGCTGGGATCAAGGTTTGTACATGAATTGTTGTAAAGGAGGATCATTTCAACAAAAACTTTTTTCCGCCTCAGTGTTGGAAGTGTTTCACTAAGCATTGTTGAAATACCACATCATTTTGATATGCTACGTCAGACTAAGATAAGGCAGAATCCATGGATACAAAATCACATGTTTAGACAATACTATCTCACAGTTACAATTTGGAGACGTTTAGACAATACTATCTCACAGTTACAATTTGGAGACATGACAGAAATGTAAGAAGCAGTGTCAGAATTTTGAGATATTTAGACCAAAAATGCATCATTTTAATGTACTAATGATTAAAATAAATACTGATACTAAACAAAAGTCACTTGTGATTACTTTTAGCTACTGCTGTATGAATATAATTTAAAGTTTGCATTTTTTGATCCAAAAGAATCTATTAACATTATCCAAAACAGCATGAAATTGGCACAAAAGAGTATCAAACCAGTATTCTTGGAATATTGGAGTAAAATGTACTAAAAAATGCAAACATGATAAGATAAAGAATCCACCCACTATTCCCACAAAATCTAATTCAGGGTCACAAAAGGCCAGGAGATTTTCCCTACTGCCACCGGGCAACAGGCTGGGTGCATTCAGGTCGTCATTCATCACAGGTCACACAAACATACATACATGATTTCATTCACTCATTTAGCTTAACAGGCATGTTCTAAAATGGCAGGAGGAAGCCAGATTACCAAGAGTCTGTTGGAAACTTCGTTAACACCATCATACTATCGCTTTTAATTCCAAGGACTTTAGTTTTTATCATATTTTAACTTGTTTGTAATGTAATCTGTATTACAAAAAGATTGAAAGGCTTCAAACTGACTTAAACTAAAATAGTGGACTAATTAAGATTTGTATAAATTCCTTCTCAAATTATTTGTAAATTTGATATTTGTATTTTTGAAAAGTGACATAACTACATTTTGTACAATTGAGTATAAACAGGTAGAATACATTCAGTATAATAAATACTTTATAGTTCTTGGAGCATGTGAAGCATTTTTTGTTTCTCTAACCCTAATTTGAATGTTGGACTTTCAACGAGCACAACTGCCACAACTTCCTGCAGACATTCAAGCAAATCATTCTATTATCAGATTACCCCACAGCTGATTTGACTGTGGTCTGCAGGTGTCACCTGACCTGTGACCAGCCCTGTACAACTCAGTGATTCCCTGTAAGTAGGAATGCTGTTGAAGCAACGCTCACCAGATAGAATGCAAGAGCTGTTTATTTCAGACAATCGGTGTGACTGCAAACTATCAAAGCACATTTAAACAGAAACCAAAACGGGCCTCCAGAAATGACAGAGATTTTCTAAAAAGCTACACTTATACAACAGACTGGATACACAAAACAGGAGACTTTTTAAAATGGTTGATCATTGTGAAAAATGTCATTTGTAAGGCGAGAGCATCAGGTGTTCGGAAACTGAGTTAAAGTCTTTTAGTAAAACATTTACACGAAATAAATATACAGTACAATAGAAACTAAGCTTATTAGATCTTATTACAAACTATGTAGAAACGATTTCACTAAGCAAACTTTACTCATGTATGCTAAAAGCACTTTGCTCTATATACAAATGCAGTGTCAATGCTCCACTAAAGAAAAAGTCTATTGTGCATACACACCCAGGTAAGTGATTTATGCTCACTACATAGATATTTATTACTAATGCTAACAAAAAAATCTGAATAGCACTTATTTGACCTTATAAGAAGTGTTTAAAAACACTGACATTGGACCTTTGAACCTCTAGACCTGAAAAAAGCTCCATTTCCTTCTTCACTAACATTCAGCTTCAGCACACCTTTGTTTAAAATCATTTTTCAATTTTAAAATAATCCTGAGTGGAAAAAGCAAAAGGAGGCCACTATTGCACAACAAATATTCACACAGCTTTTTAGACAAGGCTTTCTGGATGACCTGCCCGTGCTTTGGAAGCAGAGCTACCAAATGTGATCACTGCTGCTCTGACAAGCTCACACAGCATCTCTAATTAATAGCAAAGCTTCCGTCTGCACAGGCAAACAGACCACAGTCCTCTTCTTAAGTCTCTTCAAGAAGCTTCTGGAGGTTTCTTTGAATCTAGGATGGAAACAAATAATGACAGCAGTATAAAAATTAACAGCATGAAACACTCAATATAGGCATCAATCAAACAATACCAATTATCTTTCAACTGTAAAAAAGTATCAGGTGGTATAAAGATGGAGATACTTTTGCCTTTCACATGGGTCTACCATTCTGCTTTGGGGTACTATGGAACCTCTTGAAATTCTGATTTGCAGCTGTCCAAAGATTAGATTTTTTTACTTTTAAATTTCCTTTTCTGTAAAAAGAAATAAGCTTCTGGTATTTGCTATCTCCCACTTTCTTTGTATGTTTGCCCTAATAGGAATAAACATTTAGATGCCATATCATGGGAAATGTTGATTTTAGGTGTGCAGCCCGTCAAACGACAAAACAAACCTTCTCTAGCTTGAAGAGGTTGGTGGACAGCTCCCCGTAGATCTCAGCATTCACTTCATCTGGTGACCTTTGGATGCCCATATTTCTGCAATGTGATTCGTATAGAAACATTCAACTGATAATCAGTGGTAATGCTGGTAAAGGAAGTATGCTTGAAAGGAATTCATGGCTTTAACCCGTACTCATTACGAATGTGTTCTCCCATCGACAACATGGAGTTCAGCCGATGCTCGAGAGCCACAATCTTGAACGCCATGTAACAGGAGGACAAAACAAGAACGCCGACTCTGTTTAGACATACAAACAAGGGAATGTATGGATATTCAAATCTTCAAGGACCATTACTAACACACCCCTTCAATGCAAATAAATGTTTCAGAGACGCCCGTTTTCCTGTGGCTTCTTGTGTTTCACACGATGGAAGTTTACTCACAAAAAAAGATAGATGAGTAGAATGACATGCAAAGACTTTGGCTGGGATGTTTTGTCTTTCTGTAGAGGTCCACGTGCTGGACTGCTTGACACTATCAGAAAAACAAATAGCACAGATTAGTTGCTCTGCTATCAAACCCACCCAACAACCCCTTGCAGAGCTCAGTAAACAATATGTAATAACTTAAAGTACTCATTTTAACTCCTAAGTCCTTTCTGAAAGTCTCTTTTACTGAAAACGTACATCCATAGCAACCATTTGAGCTAAAATGGATTATTTTTATCTTAAATGAATGAAAAAGGAATAATCAAAATGCTGGGCTATGCTTTTAAATATACAACAATAAACAGTGGTGGTTAAATCTTCAATACCCCAACTGACAGTGAAACTCGAAACTACAGAGGCATAACACAGCTTCTGTTGTTTCTCAGAAAGCTTCAGTTTTTAAGCACCGTTCTTGAGGGCATTCCCATGTTTTTGGCTCGAGGTCTGGAGGTGGATGTCTGCATGGACTGAAACCTCTCTGCTCTTCACTGCACTAAGGAACGAGTCTGGGAGGCGAGTGAAGTCTGTTAAACAAATAGTGAGAAGCAGTGACTCCAGGGGCTGGTGAGCTTGAGTAAATATTAGCACAACCACAAGAACGTATACAAGTCATCAAGCGCATTCGGTCAATAAGAGCAGAGAGCTGGATAACTCTAAAGAGTGGAGATTTGTTTTCAATCGTTCAAAAGGATCATCACCAAAAGCTAAATCTTACAATATCAAATGTCACCTTTTGCTTAACTTAACTTAATAGTACACACTGTATGAGCCATGACATCTGACATCTTTAACAGATGATATAAAGATCTACATTTTTGCAGACAAGGATAAGTTTACAATCTCTCTTATTCAAAAAGACGGTTCACACACCACTTATTTTGTCATAATCGGGAGTCTGAGAGCCAGAGCTGCTGCTCTCCATTAGGTCCTGCCTTCGATGCTGCATGACTCCATCAAAGTCAGAAAACTCTGCAGAAAAGTCCTGCAAGGCACAAACACACACAAAGGAAACGACATACAAAGCTGCTGTTAAGGTACAGTACATGAGAACAAGGCAGTTTCTATAGATCTTTTATCTCAATGAAAAAATGTACAGGGAATACATCCTGAGCAAAACATCCCAGAAAATAGTCGGACAGACCCCTGACTGACCAGAGGAAGCGAGGACGGGCAGCTAGCTCTGAAGCTGTTTTCACAGGAGGAAGTAACAGGGCTGCTACAAGCCTTATCCACCTGCAATGACAACATCCATATATTTATATGAAGAACAGAAAATGTTTCCTTTTTTTTCTTTACCAGCTGTACATGTCAGCCAACCCCTGCTGTTATGTTTCCTCTGCCCCATAAACTTATAGTCCATAAGCTTCTTTTTGCTTTTATTATGTTTAGATTTGACCTAAATCTATAGTGTGGATTTCAAAGATATTTTTCTCACAGGAGACCAAGGATGTGACAGCTGTGTTAATTCTTAATTATTTCAATTCATTGGTAACAAAAAGCACTAAATGATCCTATTCTTATGGATTTTGGCATGTGATCCACTGGACCAGTGTATGGAAGCAAAGGAAATGATTCAGCCTCACAAAATTGATGAAGTTGAAACATTATGATCCTCCAAATGATAATTTTTTGCATACATTTAATTATTCTTATGTAATTGTAGAAGAGTTAATATTTCAAAAAAAGGAAATTACACATATAAAAAGAAGTCAAACCTTGAGCTTTAATTGTAATGGACTTACTTTTCCTTTACGTTTAAGTTTGCCTTTGTCGATATGATGCAAACATCATTCTATTATTAAAAGGAATAATGTTTGTTACTCCATGTTGTTAGATGAGCAAATGATTAGTGAAGTATTGTGTCATATACATCCTCAATTTTCCTCCACAATAAAAAGGCTTGTGAAAATGTATGTGAACAAACTCTTTAACATAAGCAGGATTTACCTCCAAATGAAGGCAGATGGCTTTCAGAAGTTTGAAGGTGGTGTTGCGAGAGAGGAACGATACAAACACGTGCTGGAAAAAACACACATTAACCACTTCCTTGTCCGTGTCAAAATGACAATGTTGGTGGTGGGTACTGTACAGTTCCCTCACCTGGTCATTTGTAGTTTCAATCACCAGGGCATTTGGCACTAATATTGCAGTTTTGGTTTTTTTGATGAATTTCACAGACATCACTGGGATTGAAATCTGCCAATAATAAAAAACTCTCAACAATAAGTCTATACACACCTTAGAACTAAAGTCATTTGATATTACAATTAAAAGTAGCACACCTTGGTGTCTCGGCCAAAGACTTTGGAGTGAAAGCAGATCCAGTTATCAGAGACAAACATTCTTCCCTGATATAGAATGTCTCTCTGCAGGGCGCAGGTGTAACCTGATGGTGAATACATACGCCTTTAATCAAATAAGCATTCCAACAATGGTTCTCTTGGGAAAGAAATATCCAAAACTTACTCTGTTTGAGTAACTCATCTTTGCTGATCTCCTTGAATAACTTATGATACTGGGCGTTCGTCTTGGATATCTAAAAAAAACAGCATTTTTTTAAAATTCGAAACGTGTAAAAACTTTGTCTCTTTGGAAATAGTTCGATCAGAACAAATCCATACATGGCTGGGTTGCGATTTCTTCCTGTCAAACTTTGTTTCAATGTCACTTAGGCTCAGCATCGGTGAGAGCTGTTCCACGGGTTTCAGCCTGAAATGAAAAGGTCAGTGTTTATTGTCGTGTAGCCTGGTAACAACTGAGAAAAGGCAGGTAAGACGTGAAGGCTGCCGCGGAGCTACAACTAAAGCACGATAACTGAAACAAGCCGGTCGAAAAAGGCTCGTTCCGCTTGCTGTAGCCTGCTGTTATGTGAAACCTGCTTACACAGCAACAATGCGATCTGTAAACAGCACTTTGGTCATGCAGGAATAGAGCAGGACAATTCCAATGAAGTGTAGCATCTGGATACTAGAATAAATACGTATCCTCCCTGTGTGACTCAACTTCAGTTTTAGCTTTTACCAATACGTAAAACATCAACATTTCGTTCATACCAGTTTATAAACATAAACAAACTACATTTAGCCAAGTAACAAACCTCTTTTCTGAAAAATTGAAGTGAAGTTTAACTTGTGTTAACCTGCATAAGAATGTTCAACAGCCATAAACAAATACTTATTATGTATTTAAGCATTTGTTGTTATACTTGTTTCGCAGCTTCTCAGGACTGTATTTAACGAATTAACAGAAAAGTAGTTTTAAAAACACTAACACAGATTACAGCCCTACTGGAAGATTATGATGCGTAAATAACCACAAAAAGAGCTACTAAAAAGAAATGTTCCACTTAGAAATTGAAACTTAGAGCATGTAAATCACCTCATGCCAGCTGGTTTCTTCCTAGTCTCAGAGGGATCTGATTCCGTGTCCAGAGGGAGCCGGAGGTCTGCTGGTGTGCGTCCACGCCTCCTCTGCGGCCTCTCGCCTCCATTGTCCACCTCAGACCTGGACGTTTGGAAACGAGTGGCAGGAGGTCAAAGGTGTGATGAGGTGTTCCCTTACGCTTTGCATGCACTCTTAACACCTGCCATTAGACTTCACCTTACTCAGGTTTTCACTTTTTTGGCTGAACTAACTGTTGTTTTAAAGTATAATTCAACATCTGGCCGAGGAGCAAACCGAGAAAAGACCTTTTGGCTGATGTTGATTCTTGTGCGTAAAACTATCAAGGGGGGCAGATCTGAAACAAACGCGTCTATTGCATCAAAGCAAACTATCCCCACTCCTTGAAGGCTTCGTGAGTAGTTTGATCGACTAGAATTCTTCAATGCAAATCCCCCCCCCCCCCCCCCCGGATGACCCACGCCACGTCCGAGCCGCATCCATCCGTGTGGAGACCACAGCCCTTCCATTCAAATTCTTCGCCCGAAGCAGGATGTTCATGCAAATAACGGCCATGCATCAAGTCTGAGTCGTCTCCACGGCCTTCCCCCTCAGCCTGCATCTCACCCCAGACTTACGTCGAGGTTTTCCCACGGGAGTCCTTGCAGGGAAGTTGTTCTGGCGCGGATAACGGGGGCGGAGGGGCGCCCGCCTGCTCCGTCATGAGTACCATAGTTTAAGTTTCATCACTCGTCCCAATTCGCCACGGTCCCCCCCGATTGTGGAACAGGAGAAGCTTCAGGAAGTCTTGAAAGTTTTTGTTTGGGACGATCGCTCGATGGACCCAGAAGGCTCACAGAGGAGGAGCCACGAAGGGGGAGGGAACAGCTGGGAACAACGTCAGGAAAAACAGGGAGGAAGGCGCTGACTCCCACTGGGGACTGGAATCACGAGCACTGGCTTTAGTAATACAGTCCAATATACGTTCATATAAGAATGGGGGGCGTTTACGTTTAAGTTAGATCAAAATTAACTTATAGTTTTTAGCCAAACTATGTGAAACTGTTGCATCCAGAGAACTTTATGCAGTTTTGTGTTGGAGTGTGGTGTCCAGCAGGGGGCAGCAGAGTGTAAGTGATCACATATCAGGCTCCTTCCAGATAATTGGTGCAAACGTCGGCTCCCAGTTGGGAAAATTCCTGGAAAATGCACAGAATTGCTGGCTGAGAATGAAGTATCCTTATGAAATTATTCTTCCTACTCATTCAAACCCCTCCTACTGTGAAGACCTGTTTAAAACAAAGTTTTCCATCTGGGAATACCAGGAATCTGTCAGGTCACAAAGACCAAGCCCAAATATCTTGTTTGTTTATTTGTTTGTTTGTTTTGTTTTTGTTTTTTGCAATGACCAGTTTACTGTGTTAATGACAACCTCAAAATAAACCCATTCACCCTGACTCAATTTCCATCATTTCAATTGAGCAACATGATGTGACGCACTTCTTAGCACTTCTCTTCGGGTTTAGTTTTGATTTTGCTATCGATGCAATCAATCTCATCACTTAATTTCCTTGTTTGCTGAGCTGATGTGTTGTCTCCGCTAAGCCTTGACATTTAGTTGCCACAGTAAACAACCTGTTGAGGCAGGGCCAAACTGTAAATACCCCAACATCTATTAGCTGTAAATCAGTGTTATTTACTACTCCATTCACGCACCTTTGTTTCTGCAGAGGCGGCAGTGACGTGTTTAGGGAGTCAGATAAAGGGTTTTTCTCACCAACGCTTTCCTGTTATTTTTCCAGGGTCCTTTGTTTGGCTGCGAGACTTCAGCCTGTCAGTTCTCAGGGGAATGAGAGGAACATTCGAGTCAAACCACTTAGGAACACTCGCTTACAGACTGCTCCCATACCTGTGTGTGTCTGCATGTGCATCATCTTGCCTTCGGATAGAGGAGATGGATCCTTTCCGTGTACTTAGGTGGTGGTTCAATGTAGTGGAATTCTGAGTATTTTCTTTGTTTCCGATTTTCTACTTATACTGAATTGCAAATTGGGGTATTATGTTATACCCCAACACATTTATTCAAGTTTATCTTATTGATAATAAATAATAAATGATAAAAAATTCTAAATTCTAAGTGATCCAGTCACAAGGACTCAAGTTAAACTTCAATGATGCATTGGCAGACTTCACAAAAAAGTCCACACAAAGGTTATCCAAACTGCCAATACCGATTTCACCATTAAACTGATGAATACGACAACAATTTCCATGCCGGAGGTCCCCGGGACAAGCTTTATGGTGGTGAAAGGAAGTAAAACTTAGTTCACACCACAGCTATAATAGTCTAAATCCCAGGCTTCATGCACAAGTCACATCCAAGTCTACTTAAACCCATTTAAATTCGGTTTAATACAGTTTGGTATGACCAAATCCGGCTTAAACCGTCTGGATTCCGTCTTGCTTGGAATTTTTAACATGGAGCATGAAAAGTGTCCTCAAACTCCCAAATGAAGGATAGAACCTTTGCAGTTGTATCACCGCAAACAATGTGTCACTGTGAGGAATTCCAAGCTTTTGGAGTGTCACTTAGAAAAAAAAACAGAAACTTGCTTTTAAATTCCTGTCCTCAGTAGACACAACAACAACAGGAAGAAGGGCCATTTTCACAGGTGTCAGGAAGCACAGGAAATAAACAGCCTGAAAACTGGAAAACATTTTTGTACCCAAAGAGTCAGAGGTGAGGCTAATAGAGGATATTTATAGCTAGAGGGGACTTATTTATGCATTTAAAAAAAGATATTTGAAATAGTTTTGATCTCCAGAGGGCTATCTATACTTTACCAATGCTGATGACATTAAAAATATGAAAAGCATCCATTGGAGGGACACAACCCCTCCTTTCTCGATGTTTTATTCAGAACAATCAAAGCGCATTGTGCATTTTATTTAACTTTATTCATAAAGATGTATTTAACCGTAGACTAACAAATACCTTTTAAATGTCAGCAGAAATCAATAAAAAAACTTCACAAAAATTCCGTTCACCTTTACTGTGTTGATGAATAATTTACTAGGATTTGACATAGTTTGGTCATGTTTTTAATATCACGCTTAAATACATGGTTATATCTTGTCTAGTGTGATATTCTTTGGTAAAATAATTAATTTATTTGTATATTTTAGATATCAAAACCAACTGAGGTTAGAGATAGAAATGCCTTTTCTAATTAAACAGTTAGAATTCCAAATTTGAACAGTTTTATAGCTTTTCTTCTCCATTGACTGATGAATGTTTTGTGTTTCATGACATTCCTTTTCTTTATAGAGCAAAAACCATGCCCTTCTATGAGAATGACTTTGTTCTGTACATCTGCGCACATTTTTTTTTTTTACCAGCTACTGTAAATGTCTGTATGGGAAAAAGTGAAGTATGTAAGAAACGTTCTCAGAAGTCCGATCCATTTTTGCTCAAGTTTCGATCTATCATGTCAAATCATCATGGGAACCAAGACAAGAATTTCCCCTACCCAAAAAATAAATTTCTCTCAAACAAATTGGCAATACTCAAAAGACCTACTTCAACTCCCCTTGAGATTTAGTGAAGATTTTTCATTTTATACTACAGAAATGAATAGTTCCTCTTCAGAGAGAGGAACAGCTTTCATGCAGCTATGTCTGAGAACAAGAATTAAGCCTGGCACAGAGAAGTGTAAGAAAAGATAAGAATGTTTAGTTTAACTCAAACCTCCTGGTTATAAAATGACTGTAAAAGAACTGGAATGATATCAAATAAAGACACATACGGCTCCTTTAATTAATTATATTTTATTGTTAGAGTTTACAGTGTTTAAAATGCAATAAACACACTTGCAAATGCATGTATGGCGGCTTCAATACTGCATGATAAACAGGGATGTTATATTAAACTATTCCAGATGAAGCTTAATAAGATATTGTATAAACTGGACAATCAAACAAAAAACACTAAATCAGTAATAACTGGTTTTATTGCAGCAATATACATGTTTTTTTAGAATATGTTATCTGCATTCTACAAGTCATGAGTTTGTCTGTGCCATTCAAAAAAAATATTGTTTGGAATTTTATAATGCCAATAGATAAAAATGCTGCAGACTTGTAGAATAGTTCAGAATACTTTATCCTTTAGTCTTTTGTCAGTTTTCAGCAGCATTAATAAACATGAAGGCACACTAAAAAAGCAACAACACAAAAATGAACTGAGTAGAAAAAGGATCAGAAAAAAAGAGCTAGAACATCTAAACATTATAACATAATTTAAGGTACAAATTCATAAGAAATATGTTAGAGCCAATTAAGGATCTAAAAAAATCAAATAAAATGCCTAACTGCAGGGAAGAAATGCTTTTAGATAATAAAATATACAATTTTAGGTTAATTTATAAGTTAACGCTACATTTCCACTGAACAGCTCAGTCTGGTCAGCACTTGTCAGCGGGGGTTGAGCCGCTTTGGAGCGGATGACCTGCCTGTGAGCTGCTCTGCGCTCTGGCCAGAGCGGACTTCTCCAGATCCCAGTTCACCTCCTAAAAAAACAGTATTTCACATTATACCGCTGGGCTAAAACTGCACAGTTTTTTAAAAAACTTTTCAGAACCGACTCTGGTCAGATATCTGACACATTGAAGCCCACTGAGGACCCGTGTGGAGCTTCTATGTTTTTTTGACTACCTGTCTGTGGCTCAGTCCTGAGCTTGCTGGCGATTTTGGCAAAGAATGTGAGGGTGAGACAAGCTCCATTCTCCCTGTCACATATGCCCCCTTTACAGCTGCAGGTCTTACGGCACTCCACTCCATAGGTTCCATACGGGCAGTCTGCAAATAGATGGAAAAACAGAAAAAACTTGGTTATTCACAAGAATAAAAACCCTGCTCACCAATAAGCCAATGTCAATGAAGTATGCACATGTGTGCAGATGTTCTTCCATAACCAGTGAGGCTAAATGGCCCCAAATGGCTGTCTTATGGAAATTCCAAACAATTCCTGCAGGCTAAAATGTGAGGCAATTCTGAATTTGGTGCAAGACAAGCCTCTTTGTATTGAGAACGCATCTTGGAGAGGCGTCGGCGTCATTCCAGGTTACGGAACTGTGTGAGTTTACCTTTGCAGATCCCGTATTCGTCTCCGTAGTCGTCCTCATCCTTGTAGAACTCGCAGAATAATCCCGGGCCGCACTTCACCCCGTGCATCCCCGACACGGTGCGGTAGCAGTGCTCCCCTCTGGCCGCGGCGCACACCGGGCAGCAGCCGCAGTCGTCCAGCACGGTGCGCGCGCACCGCTGCGCGCCGCACCGCTCCGCGCCGCATCTGTCCGGGCAGCTGACCGCGTACCTCCCGATGGCGCTCCACGCCTCAGCATCCCACACCACGAGGGAGGACATCACTGTGAGGAGCAGAAAAGACATCGTAGAACGCTGGAGGGGGGATGAGGGAGGGCTTTTATTGTCCTCTCTGTGCGCGCGGCAGACGGACGAGCGATCTGATCTCCTCCTGAGAGACTTGTGAGTGGACTGACCTGCGGTCCGTCAGGTTCTGTGGTTATCAGCAATGGACAACTTTGTTTTGCACATGCTTTGCTCTCGTCAATTTCCTCATTCCGGTGTTGCCGTCCCTTTTTTTTTTTTTTGTCAGCCAGTACCCCCTTTTAGAAATCCGGCTTGGAAGTGGGATTGACTCAGGACCGCCATCCAGGAACTGAAGTTCGTGTGACCTGATGTCATGAGTTATCTTTGGTTTGTTTTCGTCTGGATGACGGAACGCCTCGCTCTGAGTGGCATCGGGTTTTTGTCCTGACTGTCTGGAGGCTGCTGAGACACTCAGTCATGCCAGTCCACTGGAAAAAGGACAGCATATATGATCCAGTTTGAGGCATAAAAGACAGAAAAACATCAAATTAGTATGGTTTAAATACAAATGAATGTATATGTTTAATTATGTATCTATCTACCAATGTATACATGTGTATATGCATATATATACATATGCATATATATTTACAATAGTATTGTATGACTTTTAAATTATTTCAAAGAAAGTAAACATTTTTTTAAATGATTCACTCAATGGAATATAAATATTTGATTAAATACACCTATCCTTTTGCCATAGGCTTTTTATATGTTGCACAAAAGAAATGCATGGATCTCTAATAATGAAGTTGCAAATTTGCCACATACAAGCACTTATGAAAAATTATTAAAACATTTGAGATAAATTTGTATGATCAAATATTGTATATTTTTGTCATTGAATTATCTAACGTTTATTTATATTCACATATCAAATGATTATTTATTCACAGACAAATTGGTGGAAAAATATATCAGATATCCAAGAATTGTAATTATTTTTACAATTTAATGTGAAAATGAAAGATTGAATTGATATATGCAATCTGTATGTTGTCTAGTTACTAAAAGTTCAGTATAAAAAAAAATCAAAACCATTTTGTGTCATTCTATGTTCCAACTGTTTGTTAGAACACAATTTTGAATTACATGTTGGTGTAGATTTGTGGAAGGAAACTGAAGCTTTTGGCACTTGGGCTGTTAAAGGCTGCTTAATTCAGGCAACCTTATTGTTTCTTTGAAAACTGGGACAGACATGTTCATCATCACAGCGTGAATGGTTGAAAATAGATATATTTAAAAAGAGATGGGGAAAAACCAAGGGGGGGAAACTGATATTTTCTTATGCTAAACCTCTTTACTTTTATAAAAACAAATTGTCAAAAAAAATGTAGCCTACAACTGCAAATCTGACAATACTGATATCTAAATGTTCAGAAACCAAAATGATTGCAATTACAAAATAGTGCTCACCTGGTAACTTTGAGATACTACTGTGTGTACAATGTGAGGCCAGGGACTGAGGCATGGAATTGGATGCAGACATACAATATATTGAAGGGGGAATTAGGAAATTGTGTTAACAAATGCTTAAAGAACACCAACCATTATACGGATTTCTGCTTTAGATTAAACTCTAAAGATCTCATCGTGCATGCAATAAAAGAAAAAAAATATGATGAAGTTTTTGATGATGTCGAGGTGTTTTTTCAAAAACTAAATACAATAAAATAAAAAGGCTTTTTGTCCAATCCTAAAACTCCCATAATGCAACATTGACAAGCTTGCATTCTTGACAAAACTCCTTCCAGAGTCAAACAAAGGAAATAATCCATCTGTCTGTTTTCACAGGCTGAATAAACAGTATGCTGGTTCACATCACGATAATTGTATCTACCCAATCTGGTCCCATGGGTCTAAATCGGTCCATTTATCTGGTTGGTTTATTGTTTAAAGAGGACTTGGTGCTGTTGGGTTACCGGGACTAAGACGTAGCCTACCTTTGGGGCTGAAGCAGTCAGTTCAAACCGCTATTGGTTCCCCCTGCATTTAGTCAGGGTAGAAAAGTAGATAAAAAATAGGAAGAAAAGGTTTTACAAGGAAAATCATGGGAAGAAGGCTCCGACACATACTGCGGCGCTAATGTTCTAAGCTAACGCTCGTTGCCCTCCATGACAGAAACACCACAGAAGAAGAAGAGAAACGCGAAGAGGACTGACATGATATTTACGTCCAAGGGAGACCTCACTGGGACGGGACAGGTAATGCATAGCATACATCCGCGGTGATTGGTGTCAAGGTAACTTACACGCCTACGGCCTGTTTATTATTTTTTTTATTACGGTCGGGTGAATGAATAACTCAGATGTCATTTAACTGGGACGAGGGAGTTTTGGCTGAGAGCTGTCAGAGAACAAGCGGAGGGGCTTGGTCGCCTTTTTTGACAGCCATGGAGCAGACTAGCAACTGCACCGCAGCCAGCGTTAGCTCAGCTGTCACCGTCCGCATAATGCTGCCACCGGTGATTGGGAATGACACAGCGGACTCTTGCTTTTCAAACCACGAATTCCGTCGTTTCGGCGCCGGTGGAGCCATTAAGGCAGTAAAGCAAAGCAGGAGGTGTCAGCAATGAGTCGCTAAAAATTCTGACAAACGCTGGAAAGTGAGGAGCCTGATACAGCAGCCAGACAGGGGGATGTCGTAATGTGTAAATAAATTAAATTATTCCAGTAGCTGGTCGTTAGTGTGCATGCCTAACGCAGGAAAACATGGCACTAGAGTTTGCTAAGCCCACTGTCATTTTTCCCCCTAAACATTTATTCCTAACATATAAGAATATTGTCGAAACATGTAATTTGATAGCATATGTCCATTGTTGTTGTTGTTTTTTTCAGTACACCGTTATTTAGTTTTTTTGACTGACAGCCGTCATTACACTCATTAAATGCTAGTGTGGACATGGTTGTCCTGGCAACCACAGCCAAACGTCCCCTCCAGCTGGTCTGAGGTCAGGGTTTAGGGTCTCCTGTTGAATGGAGGTGGCTACACATCACACCATCTGTCAACAGACACAAGTGAATGGATGCCTTTGCCTTTTTCATTGAATTGCAGGTTGTGTGACATCATTTTCCCAGCACACAGTCTTAGTAGGTCACCATTCCATTGTTTGGTTTTTAAAAGTGCGTGATGTTACTGTATGTTTGGAATATAAACACTAAAGAAATCTGAAATATAGAGAAAAAAACAAAGATTGTTATCAGTGAAGGTAGCACTTTACCTTTCCAGTATATTCTTGCTTGTGGTTACAGGACTGTTAAGCCCACCACTCTATCAATGGCCGTTGTTATTTTTGGCCTGGGTGGAAACCATATAGCCCCACAAGCCTGGAGCGCAGCGGGGGAGTCGGGGCTCTGAGACTGTTTGTCTATGATCAAAGTTGCATGGTCACATGTTTAGCAGTATGTAACTGGCATTCTCTTACACATGGCAGCTCATGTTTTACCAGACAGGATCAGCTATGTGGTTTCAGTCTGAAGATACTCTATTCTTGTACTTTAATGGTTTATGCCAGTGGTTATGTTAATAAGAATTTTTTTCATTCTCAATCTGGTGAGGTCATTATAGCATAAGAAGTACAGTAATATAAATGTTTTGAATGATAATTTATATTTTGGCGTAAACTCATTGATTAATATTGTGGCCGGAAATATAAATTATATATAATAATGTTACCGTACTTTATTTTATGTTGTGTCATTGGCAGTTTCCTGTCGATAAGGAAACAAGAGGTGGAAAGAAAGTGCCAAAAAATGAGATTGAATAAAGATCAAGGTCACTCGTGCTGACATATTGATTTCTCCACTTTCTTCTTCTTTATCATCATTGAATGGTGTTCTTCCTCTGCTGGAGTCTTATAGCATCAACATGGCTGTCCTTCTGAGTAGAACTCACAGCATTAGTCAACGATCTAAGGTTATTAAAGAATAACAATTAGGTGATTAGATGCTAGCTATACCCTTTTTTATACTATAAGCATTTTTGTTCTCATTTTCTTCTCTTTTCATACTTTTACACATAAAGTATGAAGAATTAAGAAATAATAATGTAAGTACTGTAAATAACACACCTTTGTGATGTAAGATAAAATCTTGGGAGACCAACGTCTTCTCATTAGCGCGTCTGTCTTAGCTCTTGTCAAGGGGTGAACTGACCTATTTCATGGATACCCACTGGGCCTGTGGCATTAGCCTGGATGTAGCCTGCTGAAAGTTGGAATAGTGCCAACACCGTACAAAAAACCTGACACATTGATGCCTTATTCACTCAACAAGAAAACGTTTCAGAACATCTAGCAGCTAATGCTGCCTTTTAATGTACTCTTTCAGGCTGTTCTTTATGTCAGTCAAATATCATGGAATTATGACTTCTAAGTTGCATATATCTACTTGTAAAAATAATGCTCATTGGATCTTCTAATCTTGCTGCTGTCTGTTTTTCAGGAGTGGAAAAAAGGGTATAGATAATGCACAGACATGGTGCCTTGTCAAACCCATGTGTTGTTGAAGTGGCAGGAGCACTTCAATAGTTCCTGGGCTGCTGAAGACAGTGTTCACACGGCCAGGAGACATGGTGCTGCTGTGCTCTACAACAAGCTCCTCTACAACAAGGAGGTGGTGACTCTGGCTCAGCCCGTCCAAGAGCTGGTCGGCCCACGGCTGCCAGACTTTGAGTGTGACTGCAGCGCCTCGGCGGAGAAGGAAGAGTACCTGTCATCCCTGCTTCACAGCCAGCGATGGCTTGCTCACCGCATACTGACGCAAACCTCCTACACCCAGGCCCTCCACCACAGGCTGGTGGTTCTGCAGAGGGTCTACTACGCGCTTCACAGCAAATGCCACGACAAATTCCGTGTGCAGCTGCCCTCTCAGTCCACAGACAGCGGGGCTGAAAGCGGGCAAAATGAGCTGGCCTCAGAGCCTTGCTTGCCAAGGGGAGCGTGCAAAATAAAGTCAGGGACGGACGTTCTGATAGAAATGGGTGTGAGGACAGGCTTGAGTCTGCTGTTCTCTCTGCTGCAGCAGAACTGGCGCTACGCGGCCTCTGTGCACCCAGAGTCTGTCCTCTGCAATGATGTGCTTGCCACAGCATCCTCCGTCCTGACTTCTCTGCCGCCCCTTTCTCTAGCAAATGAGAACAAGATCCCGTCAGTGGGTTTGGATTGCTTGGTACAGGTAGCTGACTTCCTGAAGAAGACTTCGGTGAGCAGTGGGAGCGGCGGGGCGGACCCGACGGGTCGGAGGCTTGCGTTGGAGCTGCTCCTTGGCCTGGCTATACAGAGAGGCTCTCTAAAATTTCTGTTGGAATGGGTGGAGGTGGCTTTGGCTGCTTCCATGTCATCATCCCACTGTGTTCTGTCTTCCTCCTCCTCACTGGGCTCCCAGCAGTCAGCTGCTGTAGGCTTTGACGTCATTCAGCAGACTCTTCTCCAAATGAGGCAATATTCGGTATGTCACTTTGAATTTTCTCTGTTTGGATCTCTACATGTGTCATACTCTCCAGGGATAATCACTGGTTGTTGGCTTTATTTATGAACTGATTCTGATCTAAATTTAGCTCTCTTTGTAGTGACACACCATGATATGTTGCACTTTTCTGTTTTAAATTCACAAGATAGAACTTCAGATCACATGTAGTGATCGAGTCTCTTCTGAATGTCCTTATATTATAACTAATATTGAATTTCCACTGGAAAATATACAATGCTAAAAATGAATATGAACTACTGTGATTCCATTTGTTATGAAAACTCCTTTATCTTGAGCTTAGTATCTTGGGGATTGGTTCACTTTCTGCTATCTTACATGCGGAACAATAACAGTGATTTCACTGTAAATATGAATGCTTAACCTCAAGCTTGGAGTGATACAGTAGTGTGCAAATAAAGATTAATACTGAGCCAGTCTTCCTGCCCTAATAATGCATATTGAGTCACCTAATCAGCTTTTCAATAGTTCTGGACAAAAGACAAACAGAGATGGCTGCAACAAGCAGCTTCAGTACTTATTGATGCTGTTTTATGTGCAGAAGTCAGAGCATCTGACACATAACCTCATGAAAAACGTATTTAGAATTTGGAAGCACTTTTTTGTGAAATACAAAAGAGTATCAAAACCCATTTCATCCATCAGTATGCTGTAGATACACATAGAAACCATGTTTTTGCTCATTGTAGTGAACTTGCGGATTAAAATAAATGACTTTTCGTAGGGTTTCCGTGGGGATGCGGTCAACACTCAGGTGCTCACAAAGGATGCTGAAGGACTCTGTCAACTCTCTCAGGCAGCTCTCTGCTTGTTTGAGGAGGTAAAAGACAACTTTGAAGCATATTGACAACATAAATACTTTCAACATTTTTCCAAGACTTGGTTTGAAAAAAATGTGCCCTCTTATGCTCAAACAGGTATGCAACTTGGCATCTTACTGCCTGTGCTCCTGCAGCACGGATGCAGTGACTCCAGGTGCAGAGAGTGAAGCAGTTATGGTGTATGTGTGGGGCAGCAACAGCAGCCATCAGCTGGCAGAGGGAACTCTGGAGAAAATCCTGCTGCCAAAACTGACACAGGGCTTCAGTGATGCCCAAATGGTATGCTTGTCTAAGAGTAGAACTGACACTTCTAAACTAATGATTCTTGTTCAGTCGTGTAGTTCCAGGTATTAATCATTTTCCGGTGTGTGAACAATCCATTTAGATCAAACATCTTCAGCTTTCGAAAAAAAAATTCTGATTGGCCATATGGCTTATTGCTTTTAGACTGTGAGGTTTCTTATTATATTTTGGGTTATAAAACCTTATAAAAAATAAATAAAAACACCTTAAAGATTATTGTACTGATATCACTGCTTTCTATGAGTTTGCTTAAGTCTTTTATTTAATGAGTGGTTTAGATTGCATCTCAAACATTGGAAAAAAGAAAGAAAGTGAATGATAATCTCAAATGAAATATAGAGATAGAAATGCACAGTGAAAAAAAACAACAATAGGAAAAGTTGGTAACTAAAGCAAATGGCAGCTGAAATATATTTGAATATCACATAAGAATAACATTTGCTCAGTAACTAGTCTTTCCATACTAATGGACATGACTGAGCCTTTATATAAAAAGGCAGAAAAACTGACAATTCTGTCATTTAATTGTATTCTATTTGTATTTGATAAAATTGTTACTGTGGGAGCTGTACTGTAGCACAATCTAAATCTAAATACCCAGGTGTTCAGTTTCAAAATAATGTGATTTCTAAGGGTGGGCACAATTGTGCAGCAGCTTATATTATAGCAGTGCTTTTGTACACCATGTGCAAATGTACACATATGATATCCAATCTGCTTCAAATGATTTAATTTGCTACACTTTGATTTTATTAATATCCTCTTTGTCATGCTTTTAGATTGAGGCAGGCCAGTACTGTACCTTCTCAGTGTCTGCGGATGGTTCAGTGAAAGCATGTGGAAAAGGCAGCTATGGCCGCTTGGGCTTGGGGGACTCCAACAACCAGTCCATGCCCAAAAAACTTGTGCTAGAGCCACATAGGAACATGAAAAAAGTGTCCTCCTCCAAGGGCTCTGATGGCCACACTTTGGCTATCACTGTGGAGGGAGAGGTGAGAAGTTGTAATGACTTGAATTACATGCTTCATCCCAGGTTTTAAAACTGTTCACCTCCAGCGAATGTGCTGGATGTATAAAACCACACAGAAAACGATAATTGGGTCGCTGCTTTGTTGTTCACTTCATCTGAGGATATTTGAAATAATTCATGATAACCTTGATCATTTTTGTTTCAGGTGTTTAGCTGGGGTGATGGAGAATATGGGAAACTGGGTCACGGGAACAGTGCTACACAGAAATACCCCAAAATCATACAAGGACCGCTCCTGGGAAAAGTAAGCCTGCTGGAATACAATCTTTTTGAGAAATGAAGGAGATGTAGTCAAATGTAGCTCAGGCTGTGAAGTGTTTTTTTTCCTTGTTTGTGAAAAAAAGGCCAGGTGATTTAAAATATATTTTACCTGCAACGGTATCTCTTACAGGTTGTTGTTTGTGTGTCTGCTGGCTACAGACACAGCGCTGCTGTGACTAATGACGGAGAACTTTACACTTGGGGAGAAGGGGACTTTGGCAGACTTGGTACTCGTCTTATTTCTCTAGATCGTCTATTTTGTCTCAACAGTTTTGTTTTCCTTCATATTTGCAACAATCGCCATTTTCACTGTTTTTTTGTGTCTATGTGGCGCAGGGCACAGTGACAGCCAGAGTCGGAACGTGCCTACTCTAGTGAAGGATATTAGCGGTGTTGGGCAAGTGGCTTGCGGCAGCTCACACACTATTGCTGTGGCGCAGGATGGACGCACTGTGTGGTCCTTCGGGGGAGGAGACAATGGTGAGTGATCAGTTTGCAATGATCTGGGATAGTCCTGCAATGATAGTCATATCTTGAGCTATAGGATGTGCAAACGTGGGCTGTGGCTGGTCTCTGCAGGCAAACTGGGTCATGGCGACACCAATCGTGTGTATCGGCCCAAAGTCATAGAGGCCCTGCATGGATTTATCATCAGGAAAGTGTGTGCTGGCAGTCAGTCATCCCTCGCCCTCACCTCTGCAGGACAGGTGAGACTCCGCAGGCTCCGTTAGAGAGGAATATTTTCAGTGTCAAATTTTTATACATTTTGTTAAGAAAAAATATCCCTGTTTTGTATTACTTTCATTTAAATATTCCTGTATCTCCAGGTGTTTGCATGGGGCTGTGGTTCGTGTTTAGGATGTGGCTCTTCTGAAACCACCTCGCTGAGGCCAAGGTTCATAGAAGACCTGAGTATCACAAAGGTTATTGATATCTCATGTGGGGACAGTCACTGTCTTGCTCTGTCTCATGGTGAGATATCTGCAGTACTTCACACAAACGTTCCAAATGTTCTTGGACTACACCATAAATTGTTTTCCTGTCATTAGAGAATGAAGTCTATGCATGGGGTAACAACACTATGGGTCAGTGTGGACAAGGTCACACTTCAACTCCTGTTACCAAACCGAAGAAAGTGCTTGGCTTAGAGGGTGTCTCAATCCAACAAATCACTGCTGGCACCTCTCACAGTCTAGCATGGACTGCAGTTCCAACAGACAGGTAAACATTTATGACAGATGACTCATACTTTGTTTTACATATTTCTTTGTCATTGTAAATCGTTTAAAGTTCTGCATGCGTGCAGGTTAACAACATTTCTTATTAGTATTGTGCCTCTTTTCCAGGCAACTAGTAGCATGGCATCGGCCCTTTTGTGTCGACTTGGAAGAGAGCACCTTCACCTACCTGCGCAACTTCCTAGAAAGTTACTGTGATGGCATTAGTACAGATACACCCCCTGCTCCATTTTTATCAAAAAGGTATGACATTAACTTGGAGCTATGTTCTGTTACTTGGCAGCATTTTGCCCAAAGACACAAAACTCTTGACCACACCGGACGTATGGAAACATGCACTCTTTCTTTGCTACACAATTCATGTTGTTTTTTCCCTTATTGCTTTCTCAGGGACCACCATCATTTCCTTTTACTGTGCATGAAGCTGCTGTCCATCCACCTGTCCTTGGCCCACGCAGGGGGCACTGGTGCCATGGTTCTGGGTGCTCAGGGCAGGCCCCTGAGAAATCTGCTCTTCAGACTGATAGACACTGACATGCCAGACTCCATACAACAAGTAACATATGCTAACTTTATAACATACAAAATTACTTCCAATTTGTGTGACTTAAATAACTTTATTTTGATTATCCTAACAGCAGTATGTACTATAGTCAAGGATATATTAGGTCATGCATGAAAAGTCCAAATGTAAATGAAGTAGAGTGTTCTCAGTATTTAAGTAATCAGTTCCAGCTTTATTTTCAGCTTTATGTTTTTTAAGTCAAGGTGTGGTATGGTTAGTTAAAAGCAATAAATGCCCTTTAGTCTTATGAATTTAGTTTTATACAATACTTCCAGTAAATACTAATGTGTGTGCTTTCTTCTTGTGTTGACATTTCTGGTGATCCTTAGGCCGTTTTGAACACGCTGTCCATCGGTGCATCCCTCTTGCTACCCCCACTCAGGGAAAGAACAGAACTACTTCTCTCGCTCCTTCCTCAGGGTCCCCAAAGTTTAAATGTTCTCTCCAAAGGACAGGTATGTAGGTCACATTACAGTTGTACCGCTCCAGATAACCACATTTTCTTATAATGCGTTTGTCTTTTATCTTTACGGACAACTGATAAACGTCTCAGTAAAAAGTCTCAGCTGCCAAGTGTTATTGAATATGGATGGATTGAGAAGAAGAAATCCAAATTACAGCACTGACTGGAGTGTTGCTAGGCAATATGAGTCGAAGCCAGCTTGAATGTTGTGAAAACATGAGACTGTGAAAAATGTAATCTGCGAAGCATCCTCACTTCCCTCTCTCTTTCAAAGCGCCTGCAGTTGGACATGGTCCTCAGCAGCCTTCAGGACCAGAGCCATATAGCCTCTCTACTAGGTTACAGCAATTTTGGTGAGGTGACAGCACTGGGACCTCCTCTGACGCCTGCTGCGTCGGTCCGACCACCTTCCTCATCGAGCTCTGTTGAGGCCTATGACCCTTTGCATTTAGCAGAGGTGCTGATGAAAACCCTGCTGCTTAGCATAGGCTTTTACACGGTACGCCACAGAGGAGCTCACGTCTGTATGTGTGTACGGCCTTGATGTGTGTCGAATGACATGGAGGTTATCAGTTTTGCTTCTGAACAACCGCAGTCCCTCTCTCTGTCAAATATTGGTTGTTTCAAATTTTTGAAAAAGGATTTTGGCCTGTAATGTCTGAATAGAAAAAAGAACATTGACAACTCTATGAATGTTCAGTTCACTCAGTGTTCTTCACCTTCTGTGTATTTCCTGTTTATTTTGTTTCCGTTTACACAGGAGCAGCAGTTTGGAGAACTGGAGAAAAACAGTGATAAACTGTCCAGTGACAGTCAGGGACAAACCGATCCTCCCTCTTACTTCCACCACCTGCTGTCCGGACTCCACAAACATCTGCTTGCCCACTGCTACATTCATTCCATCCCTGAGGTAAAGACAGAAGAATCCAAGTGCACTGAGAAATATGTACAGTTTAATTACCAGTTATGACAGTCTAATTAATGTTTGTTTAAACCATGTAGTTTCAAGAGCTCTTTAGTGATGAAATTGTGTTCATATTTGCATACTTTTCACTTTTCCCCTGGTAGGATGACAGCAGCATAGCTCTGCTTCGTGAGCATCTTTACTTGCTACTTCCCTGTGCTGCTGAAACTCTCAGGAGATCATTTAAGCTGTTGAAGAGGAGCTTCCCAGACAAACAGATTATTAAAAAGCTGCAAAGTAAGGGCCTTAACAAGTCTGCCATTTTAACCTTGATACGCCATGTTCTCGCAGTTTTTTCATCTTGTAAGTAGACAGAGGATTCTGTGATTTTTGTTACAATACAGTTAAGACCACGTTTCATTTAGTTTCATTTAAAAACAAAAACACTTAAAAAACTCCTCCAGTGATTATACAAGAAAACGGCAAGATATTTCTTGTGACATCCACTTGATTCTGTTAGTTGTTTTTGTGTATTCAGTTTTCTATTATTGTTAAAAGTCACTTTAATGCTCTTCCCTTTTCTCACCTCTTGTCTTAGTGGTTTTGTACAATTCGGTTGCGGGCAGCCTGCTGTGCCAGGTCATGTACTCCTTGCTGCTGCTGCCCCTGGGTACAGTTCAACCACTACTGAGCCATTTACTGTCCTTGTTGGAGCACCTCAATGATTTCAACAGTTTGCTGCCAGAGACAGTCCTGCTAGAGGAGCAAGAACTGGGAGTACAGCCTCAAAAGACCTGCTCGGGTCAGTCCAGTGACCCTCAGATTTACCCTGGGGTGTTTTCTGTTTCTTTGCCACTGGTATCTATATTATTGGAGCTACAGCAAAGGGAAAAGTTGTTAAAAATGAAAACGTGTCTTTTTTTTAGATAAAAGTGAAGAAAATACAAGCCTTGGACAGCAGCCGCAGGAGGAGGAGTGCAGATGGGTTTGGCTGTTGGACCTAGAGCGGTCTGTAGCGCTGGCAGTCGGCCGCTGCCTCGGTGGTATGCTTCAAGGCCCGCCACCCTCACTCCAGGAGAAGACGTCAGAGATCTGGCTATCAAATGTCCTCCTCAGGAATGGTCTTGAGATGGACTTTGAACAGCTGGGTAAGAAATCACACCGTCTTTGGAACAGAGAGCCAGTTTCAACTTCAGATTTGTTTTGCACCTGTGCTCTGTTTTTTTAATGCTCACAATAACATAAAATGTCTTTTGAAGGATGGAAAAAATTATACAGGGTTCTACAACTTAATATGAATAGACAGTTGATAGTTCAGCCAGCTTTTTGTAGAATATTTCTTAAATATTTCCTAAACTGTATCGAAACAGGTGTTTTCACTTGTGTCTAATATTACACATCCTCTTTCAGAGACTAGTATGACATGGCTGACCGAGATGGTGCTGCTTGGCAGCAGTGATGCTAGGCTAGCAGAGCTAAGTGTGACTGAGGACACCAGGACTTTGCTGGAACTGGTGCTGGGATCCAACCGCGGTCATGCAGGTGTCATATGGTGGAAGATGGAGGAGTTTGCTCAGAATAAAGGTGCTCAAATTTGCATACCTGTTCAATAGGAATTAACTGCTTACTCTTAAAATCATCACACACTCATTTTGCTGCTTTGGCCAGCAGTCTGTGTGTTTTTTTTTCCTGTTTGTGACTTTGTTGTAATTCAGATTCTTTGCTGTGTCAGCAGAATGGGACAGTGGAGGCTCATCAGTGGACTGTTTGCTGCAGATTGTCTGTCGCTGCAGTCTGGCTGCCCTTCTCAAACACACTGGCCTACAGAATGAGGCCCACTGGCAGGACAGGTGCATTTAAGTTCTTCTGTATACATTTTCACTAGTGGAATGTTTAGAATGATATTTAGTGTGAAACCATACTTTCGCTCCACTTTGTCCACTCTTACTAAAACAGACATGAGACCAGTGAGATGCTGTTAGATGTCTATGAAGCAGTTCATAAAATCAGAAGTGCTCTGTTAGCCCTCAAGAACTCTCCAAAGATGTCACAGGTGCAAACAGCTCCAAAGCAGGTACCATTATCAGTAATCTTCCACATAATCAATTATTAATAATCAAGGACTGTTTTAGCAATGTTTTACAGTTTCAGAGTTTAATAGGGTCTGATTTCTGGAAATATAACAATATAATCTGATTAGTAAAAAGGATTCTTAGGTGTATTTAAGTTGTTTCTTCCAATCGCAGAATCGTCAGTCTCCCCAAAGTCCAGATGTAGACAGGCAGGAGTCATGTGCCTCCGTGGAGCAGGTCAAAAAGGATCATGAGCAGCTGCCGGGTCAGTGTAACCGAGAGGTGCAGGTGCCTCCACCACCTACAGCAAACCACAACCAGGAAGAGGTCGCAGAGGAGGATCAATTTAGTAGTCGTGTGTACCTATCAGGTTAGAGGTCTCTGTTACTGCCAAGCAATATTAGAAATGTTACACTTTTTTCTGGTACCCTAATAATCGTGACAGACAATACACACACACACACATTCATAATTCATCTGAAGCACAACACATCTGAATGGCCACCATCTTCCCTGTCTCTGCAGAGGTCCTGGAATCATTCATGGCCACACGGGAAGCCATGCAAGTACAGCAGAATGTGACAGTGTACGAGTCATTCGGTACCTCCACCCTCCTAACCAGCATGGAGAGCCCTGTTACCCCAGAGAAAGAACTAGATCTCAAACAACAAATGAAGAGTAACCGGGAGAGTGAGGAAAACCTGTCTTTTCCCGCTGCCTGTCATCTGGTTGTGTCCCGATGTCTCTTTCTGCTGCTGGGGGTCAGGCCTGCCTGGGTAGAGCCCAACGCAGAAGAAAAGAGTCCGACTGTGACTGGGGCTCGGTGTGTTTAATACGTTGTGTATTGAGTCTGTTTATTTTAGTATTTTGTGTTCTTGTGATCATAAAGTGTTTTCATCCCCTCATTTTCAGGAAATCCTCAAAAGAATATTTTACAGTGTCAGTTGATGGACGAATACAGGTATGTTTTGTGTTAATGAAAACATTTTAACATACAGCTCCTAATTAGTATTCATATTTTGATTATTTTTTATTTAGTTTGAGCAGTCAAAAAACTCTCCAGGATCATCCAAAGCTAAAATGGGTAAGTGTAAAAGGAGAACTTCTAAATTTAATCTTAGAAATAGCATTTTCTGAATACTATTATGGTAAGGGTTGTTGGAGGGATGAATACAATCTTTCTGATTTGGAACTTATTTTTTCTTTTGATCTTCTCCAGGCTTACCTCTGTGTTCTTTGGGGATAATGAAAGATGCTTGGGATCGCTTGCGTCAATGCATCAGCCCTACTTCCCCCATGTCCCACTGTGGCAACAACAGCAGTTTGGCAGTTCTTAATCAGGTGTTTCACTTTATATGTGGAAGCCTGAACCAATTGTCACCTTCTTCACCAACTCTGGCAGCTGGACAGAGCTACAGTCAGGCAGATCCAAAGGCTATTGCTTTTGCTATACTGCAGCAGCAACAGCGGGCTGAGGTATCAGCAATTTTTCCTTTGGTTTCGTGGTACATCTGATATCGACAGATACTCAACAACACACATTCTCATAAGCACAGGGGCAGAAATTATAGTAATTGATACACTCATCCAGGAACTATCATTTTGTAAATGGTACACAGTGATTATCAAGGAATGACTGAATTCGTAGACCTTTACTAAGTGCTGAATCTGTTGTGATCAGATGCGTTTGGAGGCTTTGTGTCAGATGTCAGCCTTCCTGTCTAAGATGGAGGACAAGAATGGTGGATCCTCAGTTTCCCTTCAGTCTCCTGCTTTATTGGAGTCTGTGCAGCTCCAGTTCCTCTCCGGGTGCTTTGCCTTGGGAACACAAATCATTGGCTCTGACTCTGGAGCTAATTATGAGACTCAGCATTACATGGTACATTAGATACATTTACTGCTTCAATCTTTGTGCAGATTCTTGTGATATGAGCAAAAATAATGAACTTTACTTACATTTGTTTTTTTTCTCCCTCATCCCTGTTTTGTCTTCTCAATTCAGTATGGCACTAAGGCAGCTTCTGTAGAGACACAAAGAGAGCTACAATCTGTAGCCCAAACCTTCTACCAGCAAGTGGTGCGTGTCCTCAAACAGAGGGTTCAGTTGGAAAAAGAACATCCAGGTATATTCTATGCTACTCCTGTAAGTTTGGGACTATTCTGTAAAAAAATGTTGGGTTGTTACCAGGAGTCAAAGTTACATTTATGGGAAGTGCATGACGTAGATTTTTTGTAAACATGCAGTGATACTCATTTGAACTCTTAAGTGTATGTCAAAATGTTCTCCAAAACTCAGAGGGAAGTAGAGTGAAGTTTTGCTATTTTCTGTTACATTCAGGTTCCTGCCAGCACCTTCTCCTTGCCACAATGTTTGCTCTGAACTTCTGTTACCAACCTGTGGATCTAGTGCTGATCATCAAATCTGGAATCCTGGAAATCCTCTCCACTCTGACCAATAACAGCTGTGCATTGATGAACCAGGGCTGGTTTGCAGCCTCAACAACTGGACCGATGTTACTTAGTGGGGCAGTCAGACTAGCTTGTGCCCGCCTTCTTCAGATACTGACTGTAGCAGCGAGGTTAGTGTGTGGTGTTTATCAACAGTTACAAAGATGCTACCTTTTATGGTCATTTAACCTATTGTTAAAGGTCTACAACTCATTCTACCATGTTCCCAGCTCCTGTGAGGATTTGCTACCTTTGGATGTTTCTCTTGCTTTAATGGAAGTAATGTGCGATCAGTTGCAAAACATCTTGCACAAATTTCACCAACAACAGATTGCAGAGAGAGAAACTGAGAAAGCGGATCTGGAAACAAACAGTAAGAACACCATTCTGCTTCTTGTGAAAAATTGCAGTCAACTCAATTATGATACCTTTGATGTTTAAATCAAGCCTTATAAATCCATTGTTTTTCACAGAGAACAAAGAAATGGAATGTTGCCAAGCACATAAATCTTTATTGTGGATTATCTATCCTCTTTTAAGTAATTTCTTTTTTCTGTCCTGTTGCTTCAGAAACAGAAAGCAGCAATGTGGTTGAATCCCAGCTGGCAGATTTCCTGGTGTTTCTGAGGCGGGTATTGTCATTGAGAGTAATGAAAAGACTTTCTACCTTTGTCAAGTGGATTGAACCACTTATGGCCATCATTTCACACAAGTGCTCTTCAGGTAGGACATTAAACAAAGTGAGAATGTTGATGAGTATTGATGCTATCTCTCACAGTGCAGAAAACACTTCATATTCCCATCCTTAATTTTTCATTTGTTTGTTATAGGATCTCCATGTTTCCAGAATCTTCGGACTAAGCTTTTGGCCTTCCATGTTTTAGAGCGATTATTACCTGCTTGTTCTGAGCCTGTTCAAATTCAGCAGGTATGATGGAAAAAAGTCCAAATGCCGCACGCAGATACATTTAATCTGAATACAAAAAACGTCACTTTCTAAAGTTGTATATTGATGTAGATGTGTTATAATCCAGGAGTTGTTCATTTTTTCTCTTTCTCTTTGATTTTTACAGATTGTTAAACACCTATTTCAGCTATTGTCTGTTTATATGTGGGAGAAGCCACTTGCTGAAAGAAACTACGAAGAGACAAATGAAAAAGACAGAGTGGTAAAGCACACAGTTGCATTAATGTTACTATGCTCTGAATTTTCAAGGTTAAATATGTCCTATATCATGTTGCATTGCAACTGAAAATTAATATTGAATATTTTGAAATATTGAATAAATGAATTTGTGGCATAATCAAAGAGAAAATACTCTATTTATAGCAAAATGATGCACTTCCAGAATGTTGAAACTGTAAACAACAGCTGATTAAAGGGACAGATTATAAAGCAGTTACAGCCCTCTATATATAACAGATGACAAAAATCAATTTTATGTAATTTTCTTTCACTTCATGATGATGTTTTTCTTTGTATTTAATAATATGCTGTTAATACTGGTAGAAAAGAACAGTATCGGTGACCAAATTTTGCAGAAAACAAATACTGTTTAATGTCTAAAATGACCTAAGTATCATTCTTATGCTAATTCATCACAATATGTATTTTTATTGTTGTTTATGGTGCTTAATTGTCTATCTCCCACATTTTTGGCAGAATCCATGCAACTATGATGAATGTATCCCCATTGGAGATTTTTCCTTTGATCCACACAAGCTAGTTTGCTGCTCACTCGAGAGTGGAAACATCCTCTCCCATGGTTCAGGAGGAAAAGGCTTTGGCCTGGCAACCACAGCCATTACCTCTGGCTGTTTCATTTGGAAGGTATACGTAATTTACGGGGAGAAACGCATCACAGTCAAAATCTCTCTGCATGACTGACCAGATCTTACTGCTTTGTGCTCAGACACGTCGTAATTAGCCCCTCTCATCCTCCCTCTATCTGCAGTTCTACATTGCCAAAGAGAACAGAGGAAACGAGGGCACGTGTATTGGTGTCTCACGCTGGCCACTTAGAGATCACAACCACCATACAACCACGGATATGTGGTTGTATCGTGCTTATAGTGGCAACCTGTACCACGGAGGAGAACTGGTCCGGACCCTTCCCTCTTTTACTCAGGGTGACACTATCACCTGCATTCTTGACATGGAGGCTCATACAATCTCATTCGGCAAGAATGACAAGGTCTGAACAAATGCAATCAGTCAATATCTGTGGGTTTCGCTCTGACTGAGTGGCAGGTTTAATTGGTCCGATTTTTATTTTCCTTTCAGGAGCCAAAGTTGGCATTTGAAGGTGTGGTTGCCTCTGAACTGTATCCCTGTGTCCTGTTCTACAGCAGTAATCCTGGAGAGAAGGTAACTGATGTGATGCTCTTGTCTGGCCTACTTTTGAATGCTGTACACCATTACGGTGTAATTTTCAGTTGGAAATGGAGCTGCTGTTATTCTATAAATATTCTCATTCCTCGCAGGTTGCACTGCGGGACCTGCAAATAAGAGGAATGCCCAGTAATCTCCTTCCTGGGGAGCCTCTATGCAGCCCTCGAACAACCGTGCTGTTGGAGTCTACTATTCATCTCCTGCGCAGACTCCATCAGTGTAACCAATGGTCCTTGCACATTAACCAGCACATCCACACACACCTGGAGCTTATCGGTCCTTTGCTGAGAGAGGAGGATTTGGGAGGCATTAAAGTCTCAGGTAAGCCACATTGAGACATTGATCTTAGAGGCGTTTTTAGCCTGCTCTTTGAAATTTTGACGGAAAAGGCCATCTTACTGAGACTTTTTAAGTTCTACAGAATTATCATACTTCTGAGGAACAGTGTTCACTTTTCATTACATTTGAATATGTAAAAACTGTGGCACTAAGCAATTGTAGAAAAACTAAATAACACCTAAAGAGAAGTGACCCTCGTCAGTCATTTATAATACCTGTGATATTTATTATTATATAGGCTCCAGTTCCCCCCGCGACCCCATCAGGGAATAAGCGGTATTGATAATGGATGGATTTATCATTATGTATTATTATTTATCGATTTTCAAAATGTCTATATGAATTATTCATTTGTTATTGTGAATCAGACAAGCCATTTTCTGAATACTGTTGCTCCATCCCCATGGATGTAACTCCAGTTTGTTAAGCCCTGTGTCTTCTCTCTCAATCCCTTATTAACATATAAACAGCGATGACAAACTGAAATTAAGTTGTACATGGAGTCCCTTGACAGTCCCCTCTCAGTCACAGCACAGCTGCTTCTTACAGTATAAACTGTTTGCAAAAAGGAACAGAAGGAGGACACAGATGGTGAATGAAAGTTATTTAGGGAATTTTGAAAAAGCAGAATAGATAGATTTATTTTTTGAAAATCAATATTTAGGGCAACTAATTTGGAATTACTCTCTGTTTTTTTACGACCTTATTTTCTCCTCCAGGTTTTGGTTTTACACAACATGGAAAGGAAGACAATAAGAGAGACCAAGACCTGGCAGCTGAAGACTCCAGGGAATTTCAGGTCCATTGTCCATCCCTGTCAGAGCCAAAGCTGGCTGCTCTTTGCACTGAAGTGTGGCCGGTACTGGCCATGATTGGAGGTGTTGACAGTGGTCTGCGTGCTGGAGGGCTGTCCCGGCATAAGCCCAGCGGGCGCCGGGCCGTTTTGCTCGGCGTCCTAAAAGAAGGAAGTTCTCTGGCCAAGCTTCAGTGGGAGGAGCCAGATCTCTCTGTGAGGTATCACTAAAAAACATTTAAATGTCTACTAGCATGGTCATGATAAATAACTTGGACATTTTTAGATAATTCGTCTCATTAACTCCCATTAAATAATTGTTATATTTTTCTTGTTCCGGCCCTTACAGCATGTTTATTATTCTAACTCCTTTCTGTTCGTGTTCATTTTTCACTCTCTTTGTAATTTGTATAACATTTTAAACTTTATTTTCTTCATTTACTCTCCTGATCTTACTTTTTTCTTGCTTCCTCCTCTTCATTCTTAAATTCCATTCATTCCTGTTGAATCCGTCCTGGTGTCACTCCATGCTGTATCTGTGGGTTCTGCCCATCCCTTCCAATAACTAAGCTCCATGAATTCTTGGTCACCCAGCGACACACCGATCATCTCACTGGAGCCCTGTGACATATCCTGCTGTGATGTTACCCGCCTTGGAGGCCTCAAGCCAACGGTTTTGTTAGATCTGATATACTTAATGGGACTCCTGGAGGAACAGGGGTGGCTGGGAGCTCATCCTCCCTCCAGAAGGAAATACTCGGAGGAAATTCTGAAAGAGGATGATACGGAGCATGACTTGGATGACAGTATATCAGAAGATAGGAGATGCCCATCAGAAGATGACCTGAAGAAGCAGAAGGGTGAGACACATCCATCCCTGCGGTCATCAGTCAGCGATACCACAAAGACTGCTGATCCACAGGAATTGGCTTCACAAACATCCCAGAGCTCCAAAGTGGATGCCTTCGCACTTGAACTGAGAGCAGTTAGGGTCTCATATCTTCTTATTGGAGGCCTAAAATCCCTGACTGTCATTTTTAGCTGTGATAAGCTATCCGATATGCTCTTAGTGCCTAAAAATGACACTACAAACTCCTCAGTAAGTTCCATCTCCAGCCCTCCACCTGACCAGGCTAAAACCAGTAAGCAGTGGGATGAAAGTGCTGAGCTGAGGTCAGTGCTGCAGTATATAGTGCAGAGTATGGTGAAATGGGCAGTCAGACCATGTCCCATCAAGCAGACTGTGTCCCTTGCTGATTTGGAGCGAGCGCAAATCATGATGTACAAAGGAGCCTTGAACCGACTGCAAGACAAAGAACGCAAAGGTATTTAAATGTATGTATTTACTAGATTTCTGTTATTGAGTGAGCTGAAATCCGACTTTGGTTACACTTTTGTATGCTGCAAGTCATTAACTATTTAGCCTTATCTTAATGTCTGACTTCCCGATTGACAAAAACACACAATTATTATAACTTTTAAATGAAAAGCTAAAATGTATAGCAATCAGTGCTTAAATTAGAAAAAAATAATTTTAGTTTACTAACAAAGCACAATGATTTGACAATGACTAGTTATTTAAATAAGCTTGAAACTCGTGACGCTTTGCATCACTACCTTTCTGTTGCAGAATCCGGCAACAACCTCTCTTCTCAACCCATCTCCAAGTCATCCAGCTCAGTATCTTTGTACAGTGCAGGCTCAGAGGGAACTGCAATCTTTGGCCAATCTAACAGAGCCTCTGCCTCATCCTCTAACACTGATTTGGCATCATCTCTGCCGACAAACCTGCAGACGGACGGTCTTGAAAATTTCAACCCTTTTCTCCCCATCAGTCTCCTCCAGTGAGTAAATTATTTATTTGATTTCATATTTAGTTAAGGAATTGACATCAAATGGATGGTCTGCCACACAGACACCTATTGGAACGGACACAAACAGAGTAACTAGTTCTCATTCTTACTGATTGCTAAAGACCTGTGTCTTTTGGCAGCAGCAGCTATTCTGAAGTCCAGGGAATGGGTGAGTTAGGATGTGCTGTACATGTACATATTAAATCAAATAAAGGAGTGAGAGACTCTGTCTGCTCTGTCGTTAACCTAGGCTGCAGCTCTGCCTGCTTGTTCTTTGTCTAACCCAGCAAACTGACCACTGAGTCACTGGCCATAGAGTAGTGTCGTTCTTCTCTTGAAGAATCAATTGATCGGCTTCAGTGCTATATATTACAACTGCGGATAAAACCACGTCTTCCATAAAGGGAATTTCATCCATGCAGTAAGAAGAGACTCCTCCCCACAGACCTGCCTGTCATTTATTTTCTAAATATATTTTGACACCACAGCTACTATTACTGCACTTTTTAGGCACCTCGGAACAAAGTTAATTTAGCGTTTACTTATCTGACACATCAAACTTATGGTCAGGAAGAAAAAAAACGACTTTGCTGAATAACCCTGCTTCCTCTGTGTTATTACTGTATATACTGTATCTCCACCTCCCCTAGGCACATGGTGCTAACTCGGTTCCCTACACTTACGGGCCTGGTTAGTGCTCCCCCCGTGCTGCACCCTTGCTTCAGCTTGGCCAGCTCTGCTTCTTGTGATGCCTTCACAGAACAGCAGACTAGCTTCATGGAACCTGGTCCCTGCAGCACACAGGCCAGAAGCAGCCTGGGTAAGATCAAATGTAGACTTGTTTTTAGAAGAGGCTTGTGTTGGAGGTAAACAATGTTCCAGTGGGGAAAAAAATCAAACAGTCTGCACAGAAAGGAATAACCATTCTAATATAGAGTTATATGTTAATAACCTTTTACCCCCCCATGCTGGCTTCAAACTCAATCTTATCATCATGTCATTTAAAATTTGAATTAATAATTGTTTGTATTATTGTAAAAAAAGATCACATGAATATGAATTCACTGAGAGCTCTCCTCTGCATGGTCTTAAATGCTTGGCCACTGGCCACAACAAACTTGCTGCTCAAAACAGCATGTGTTTTGCTCTGCTGTTTGATGTTTATAATGCATGCAGACACTTACATGCTTGACTGGCACCTTTTTGTGTACTTGTCAGTTTGTTGGGCTCATTTTAAGCAAACTCGGGAAAGGAAATTAAATGAAAAATACTCTTTGTTCCATATCTATTGGTAAAGTGGGAATGTTGAGCTTGATTATTTACTATGGATTAAAAGAGTTATGTTTCTCCTCTTTTGAATATTTCTTTTAAAAAGAAATATGGTCATTGCGAGGCTACTTATTATTACTTTAATATGAACTGTTAAGATATAATACAAACAGCAAAAATTAAGTCAATGTGACATTCTATTCAGCGTCCATAAAGGTGCACATAATGGCACTGTGGACGTGTTTTTGTTGCCTGTTTTTTGTCTACTTTTTCTTTTCTCCTCAACCACCAGAAAGGACACAAATGTTTGTCACCAGTCGCTTGCTAGAAATGGGATTCTCAATGAGACATATCTACTGGGCCATGGAGGCAGCAGGTACTGCTTTGTGTGGCCTCTCTGAGGACATTTGGCTTTAGCTTCATGTGCTTGTGTATTTAATTTTTTTGCAATTGTTTTTACTGTGTGTTGCTAAGTCCTTGATGAATTTGGAATAGTTTTTGTGAACCAATATACATTTTCTTAAATGGACAAAGAGTAACAGGATTCCAATCTTTGGGTTTAACATCCATTCATACTAGCCAATTTTTTTTCTACATTGAGTATTGAATTGAATTCTTAAATAGACTTTTATGTTCGCTTGTTTTGAAATGATTTATTTTCCATTTGAATCACAAACTCACAATTTTGATTTTAAAGCATGCTAAAAGCCAAATTTAAGTCACAATTAATGTTTTTTTATGCATGTAAAAAAGGGAAAATATGTGTATTTTTAAGATTACATATTCCATAAGGTCAGGTTATGTTTTTTAAACTACTTTTTCAAACCAAATATTAGGTTTTTCCCTTACTTTTCTTGTGAAGTTTACAACACTTTTTGTTGTGCACTTCATTTTTCTAAACAGATGTTTAAGTCTGACTTCACAATGTATGTGGAAGCACCGTCCACTGATGGGGATTTCCAAATCACAGCATCCATATTTTCTTTATAAACTAACAGTGAAACGTCTCTGTGGTCCCTCCCAGATGTAGCAGGTGACTTGGACTCTCAAACAATTGAGGTGCTGGCCAGCTGGATGCTAGAGCACCCCTTTACTGAGGACCAGCATCCGCCTGAATCACCAAGACCCGAGGCAGCTCCTGAGACTCCGTCACCCGATGGTCCAGAAACAGTACAATGTCCCGAACGTCCCACCTGCCAAACCAGTGAGAGGTAGGCAGCTTAAGTAAAGGGCTTTTCAATATTTCAGTATTGTAATCATTGTAGATGTAAAGAGTAATCTTCTTGACTCCGTTGTTTCTTTTAAAGCCTGTTGACAGGGCTTGACTGGATAGAGAGGGAGAACTTCTTGGATGTCCACCTCACCAGGAACAGACCTCCCCCAGCACGGCGGCAACGCTCAGGACCAACTCAGAGAACTTCATTTCGAAGGGCAGGTCAGAGTCGCAGCACAGACCCGGCAATGGCATGCACATGCTTTGGTTAAGTTAAAAGCTCCATTTTTGGAGAAAGTTTGAATTATTCTATCCACATATGGCACAATATTTTCAGACTTGCCATCACCAAGTCCCCTCCCCCAGCTGTACCAGCAGCACACAACAGTTGGTGATTGGCCAGAGCAAGTGGAGTTCCATCCATACTCTGCTGAGGAGGAATCAGAGTTGGGATACATGGATGACCCCTACCATGAAGAAACATACGAGGACCTGCTCACCCCTTCATTCTTTAGTTTAGAAAGAGACACTCTACAGATAGTGGAGGTAATGTGCGCATATTATTAATACAAAGCTGAATAAAACAATATCTCATTGTGTTGCTTTAAAAAATATATTTTCATCTCACGATTCAGACAATTTCAGACAACACCATTTTTTGGGGTATCTTCAATATACAGAATTTCTTTTGCATGTTTCACATGTGCCATGTAGCAACTTGCCTCGATCACAGCATGCATGCTTTCTGGTTGACATTCTCATGTTGTGCTGCATTATAATCCTCTGTGCTACCCTCCTTTCAGATTGGAGAAGAGCACAGTCAGATGGTGAAATGTGAGCTGTGCAACACCTTCACTCTGCAATTTAACAATCACATAAAGCGACGACATCCAGGTTGTGGGCAGAGTGCCGCTCGCAAGGGCTACGACAGTACTGGTGCTTACGTGGATGTCTGGTTCAAAGGGGAGTGTGGCTCCAACTTTCCCTTCTACCTGCTGTGCAGCTCTTGCAGAGAAAAGTATCTGGCTGCGAACATAAGTGATCCAAATTCCAAATATGAAAGGTATATGGAATGTACTGTGTGGGGAATACTGCACACACTGGTAATGTAGGAGTCAAGGCTGTTTTATTTTCGCACTTGTTTAATGATGTGTTGTGATATCAATTTGCTATAGAATTAAAGGTCTGACATCAGATTTAATCGGGCAAATGGACAGCACCTCAGATGGTAGGTCAAATGTATTCTTAAAAGGCATACACCAAAATGTTAAAATCATTGGATTGATTCATCTTGACAGCTCTTTTCTAATGTGAATTGCTTCTTCTTTGGCAGACGACTGGGAAATGGGCCACCTGGAAGACTTTGATTCAGACAAATTGACAGGACTGGAAGATTTTGGGCTCCTGCTCAGACCATTGGGGCTGACTGAGAAGAAGCTGGTACCAGATCCAATTGTCTTTACTGAACCAGATCCACTGGGAGCACTGGTTTACAGCTCAGGATATCCAGCAAGAATTGCTGCTAAAGGTATGAGTATCAAAGACAAAAATGTAAATAACACAATCATTAAGGTAAATGTCTTTGTTGGTAAAACCAAAGTCCAAGAAATCATTTTAAACAAATGCTTTTAGCATTTGAAATAAATAATCTATATAGTATATCCAAACATACATTTTACTGAAGTGTGTTTGTACTCTTGTAAAAAAAGCAACTTGCTTGCCATATATTTAGAATTAGGTCATGTTTTTGAGAAATTATCTTCTGTTCAGCTTACATGTTCTGTAATTTCTTCCTCTGATGATTTAGCACACTTGTAACACTCTCCCACATTCCTTCTGTGCTTTTTGCCTGCATTAATACCCAAAAAACTGTAACATAGTGACTCATTAATTTCTCAAATCTGGCCATCTGAGGGATGAACACATTTACTTACCTAATGCTGCATTTCTATGTGTACATTTCTCACTAGGCAATACCCTGCTCGAACAGAAAACATCTCTGAGCCTAGGGCAGCAGGCAGTGTCCCTGAGGGACTCGCATGACAGACTAAAAGCCTTGCGAAGAGTCACATCCACAGCACAGATTCTTCTGGCTTACAGCATGGTGATGAGAGCGCTGTCTCAGACTGCCTCGAGGTATGTATGACTACAACTGCCTCATATTTGTTTTCCAAGAAGTGATTTCAGCAGTTGTTTTTTGCATCCTTTGCAGTGCATCAGTCTGCAGCCAGTCTAATGGACTAGAGTCTCTGGGTCTGGCAGATATCCGCATCCTGGTGCGTCTGATGACTTTAGCGGCGGGGGGCAGAGCTCACACCTGTGTGGACAATCAGTCAGGTGTGAAGGGACTGGCCACTGAACGCAACAGCTCTATCTGCCTCAGCTTTCTTACCTCAGCCATTGGTAGTGTGGTGTCCCACAGCCCCACTGCCTACAGGCAGCTTGTGGAGATATGCACCCAGGTCAGTTTTTTTTCAATGATGGTAATCCATTTAAGTTAATTAACTTAACTCTATATTACTGCACAAATATGATATGTATATATTAGAATAAGTACTAACAGCAGGCAAATAGAGCCCAATAAACAACTAATATTGAAGTATCAAATTTGTTATCTGTTTATCAGGAAAAATCTACCTATAATTATTTTAAAGGGGGGGGCGGGCTGTAGTTACAATTATTTTATTTGATATTTCCATGTTTTCTCTCTTATACTGAGCAGTGGCCACTTAACTCCAACTAATTATTCTTCTCATAGATAATCTGGATTCTTAGCTCAGTGTTTTTTCTCATTATGTGCTTTCTTAAAGTGCATGAGAATGTTATTAAGTTTAAGGTATTTTTTTCTGGTTTCAAACACAACCAGATGGCTACAACAGTAAAGAATTGTGGTATAATTGAGGAATCATGCTTTGGTGTTGAACATGCAAAACAGCACAGCTCCATTCTGTTCAATATTACTGCTTTTAGGACCTAATGGCAGCAGCTACCGGGGTGAACATTGGAGCCATTACTGAACCTCAGCAGAGATCTCCTCTAACGATTGCAACTCAGGGAGCCCAGCAGCAGCGGGACCACAATGATCAGACACCTCCAACATTCCTGGTCACACAGAGGCTGGTGTCCCTGCTGACTGAAAAAAGCACTCATTGTTACAGTTCAGACCGAGCTGAACATGAAGCTAATGGTGAGAGAAGCACACAAAGTATTGGCTGCATTTCCTGTAGTCATTTGTCAATGGTAGGCCCTTTTTTTAAAATATATCTATTTGGCCTAGATGCCGGAAACCAAGGAGTGTCATCCTCATCTTTACCTCCCTCCCCCCTACCACATCTGAGTGGCAGAGTGGGCCCTCTGGAGCTGGCAAACGCTTTGGCAGCATGTGTCCTGTCTGCAAGGCTGAACAGTAAACACCGACAATGGGCAGCTCAACAGCTGCTTCAAGCATTAGCAGCCGCAGGGAGAGACGGTCCTAATCGACCCCAAACATACAGCGACTTGGCTGGTGACCTGCACAAATGTTCTCTCAAGAGACTAGAAGGACATTACAATAAAGTGAGTGATACGTAGAGTTTTTTTTTATTTACCTCGTCAATTGAGCATTTGGCCCAGTTACACCTTTCTTTTACTGGTCAATCTTAAGGAATGTTACTTAGATATGACTTTTTTTTCTGTAAAGGTGGCCAGCTGTTTCTGGAGCAGTGAGCAGAGTCTGCTGGCTACGTGCTCCCAGGACAAGGTGGTGCAACTGTGGACTATCAGCCAAAACAGTGTGGAGTTACAGACCACCTTCTCCTGCATTACCAGGTCATCCTGCTAAGATTAACATTGTTTTGTGTAAACACGTGTCACTGTGGGTTGTGAAATGTGGGATATCTGTTGGATGGGTTCATTTAGATTTTTCAAACCTTCTTGTGGTTGACACAATAATTAGTTTGGATGGATTGTTAAATGTTTTCTCCCATTGATACTTTGCAGTAAGACAGACAGATCAAGTACTGACAGACCTGGCAGATGTCAGCATACGTCTCCGGTGTACTGGAGTCCTGGTGGAAATTTTTTGGCTGCCCCTGAGAACAAACACATAAACATCATGAACATAAAAGGTGAGTCTGTTTGTCTGTAAGCACTGTGACATTAACATAGTGACCACCCCCCTGTAGTATTTCTGAGATATTTGAGTGATGAAGCCACATAATAAAAGAAAGTGCACTGTTAATAATAACACTCTTCTTTTAAAGTTTAATTCATACGAAGCAAACTAATGAGAACCGTGGCTGCAATATTTTTACCTTGTCTGTCACATGTCAGGATCTCTCTGCCATGTGGAGGCTCAGGGCTCCCGTATCACAGCCATTTGCTGGGCACAGAGCTTCAGCTTGTGGGTGCTGGAGCAGTCAGCGGCCAGCAAGAACAGACCTGCCGAAAGCCTGTTGGTAGGACGGCTGGATGGGTCCCTCTGCAGGCTGCAGGTCACTATGCAAGACACAGAGCTGCTTGTGAAGAGCACTGAACTAACCCACTGCCAAAGGAAAGAAGGTGAAAACCCGGCAGCAATCCACAACAAATATTTTATATTAAGAAATTAATGCACACAAGCTATAGTTTATCACAGTTTTTTAAATTTACTTATTAAAGTCTATCAATTCTTTATTATGTGAATAATTAAATGAGCATCTCTAGGATTACACCACTCTAAGAATGTATAAACCTCACAAGAATCACCTGTCAAAACACAAGAAAGGTTATCATGTCTTTAGCCGACAAATAGAGAGAAACCCAATTATGATATGAACTCCTCTGATGCTTCTCAGCCCCACAGTGCGTAGCCTGGCACACGGAGGACAAGCCTTTTGCAGCAGGCTATCTAAGTGGGAAGATCCTTCTGGCCTCAACTGACAGCTGTGAGAACTCACAACCTGTAGTGCTGTCCCTCTTCCAGGTTTGTCCCACTCCTCAGATTCATTATTAGAACTGATTCAAACAGCATATGAGAAAGCAATTCAAAATATGAAATGTTTGTTCTGAACTTTCAGTGTTAGGACTGTGTTTTTTACTCCATTTACTTCATACTTCCTTTTCAGTGTATGCACAGTTATTCAGAAAGACCGGTTTTGGAGTGTATGCTAACCTCATAGAGTGTAGGGGACTGAAATATAATTTTAACTTGAGTATTGAGAACTTTAATCTTTTAGTTTAGACAGGATAAAGCCTTAACTCTGCATAAACACAAGCCTTGGAAACAATTTACAAGAAGAGATATTATTTAGCTTTTTTTAAATAAAGATAAAAAAAAAAAATTATAGACTAACTGGTTTCTAACCATCAGTTGATCCTTAACTCCTGATCAAATCTTGGTTATTACTTCATGGTGACATAGGCTTTAACTGTGAAGGGAGTCAAATTGGAATTTCAAATAATTTATCGAATCATTATGTCATAATTGCCATTTGATAAACGAGATTTGATCACTATTAGATATAGTATTTAATTCCTTATTTGTTCTTCATTAGCTCCCATATAATTGAGCAACAATGTGTTATCCAGACAGGGCCATTAAGCCTATGAGCTCAATTAGTAAAAGCAAAGCATTCAAAAGTAAAATGCACAGAAGTCCAACGCAATTTTTATTAGAATATCTGAATAATTATCAAATAATCACATTAAAAGAAAAAACAAACAAACAAGTAGATGCATTAAAGTACACAGTTTTTACGATATTTTTACCAACTATTTATACATACTCAAAAATAATGTAACCTAATTTTTTGCTATTGATTTTTTCCCTTTACTTTATAGGATGGTGTAAATTCCCTTAAGTGGGACCCCACTGGACACTTGCTGCTCTGTTTGGGGAGGTCAGAGATTGTGAAGGTACTGGGCCGCTCTGAGGGCACCTGGGTGACCCTGCACACTCTTTTCCACACCAGCACTGTTAACGTTGCAGAATGGTGCCCACTTGCTGGCAGAGTGCCTGATCCCAGGCTCATGATGGCTGTGTAAGTTCAATAGACATTCTATAATTATCTTTATGAATAGCTGGCCTCGTTCTAAATTTCTAAATTTATCGTCAACAAAATGTTCCCCAAAAAACATTTTTCAAATTCATGATGGTTGTACATTCATACTTTTCTCTTTGTGTTTTTGTAGAGGTTGTCAGAATGGCTCTGTGCATGTCTGGACATTACCACAAGGGGGTACCATTGTATCTCTTCCAAATACATCAAACAGCTCCCAGTGCCGGGTTAAAACAACAGAGATCAAGGTTAGTTTGGATCATCTGCTAGAGATTTTCTTTTTTGTCAAACTAAATGCCACAAAAATCTTTGCTTTTGAAAATATTAGTTAGATGAGGAACAAACTGCACATGTCCTAAAATCGAATTTAGCTGAAGAGGTGTTTTCCTCTTTGTGGCTTTGCTGCAGGATGGTGCAAAGTGTGCATTCGTTCTGCATGGTCACATTACAGCTGTCAGGTCCTTGTCGTTTTGCCCCAGTGGTCTGGCACTGGTTTCTGGAGGCATAGGGGGACTGCTCAACATCTGGTCTCTACAGGTACTGAGAGAAAATGAAATACCACTTCTTGCCCTAGAGTGAGAGCAAAAATGATTTATTCCTAATCTGCAGAATTAGAATTTAAGAACATGTAATGTCTGGTACTCCAATGTTATAGAAAACAGTATAATTTTAGAAATTCCCATTGTCCTCCCTCTCTCTCCTTTTTCCAGGATGGCTCCGTTTTACAGACTGTGACAGGACTGGGCTCAGTTGTTAGCACTAACTGGATACCAAATTTAGGTGTTGCTGCCTGCTTTGGGAGATCAAAGGTAACCTGGATCATTGTTAGCCACCCTTACTTTACTCTACAAGCATTCAACTCAAGGGTGTTTTAATTCTGCTGCTTTGTTCAAATACCTGTCGCTTTAATTTTCAGGATGTTTTATTGATTTGCTGCACTCCTGACTGGATCAGCCAAAACCATGTCTTGGCATCCTGTCGGATGGTTCTCCGGAGCCAGAACATCTTGGGGCTAAATAGGGCACCTTGTTTGACTGTCTTCTTGGAGAGGCTGCCCCTATTACTGCAGGATCAGTACAGCTATGAGCGGGTCATTACTGAAACTATGCTATGAAATATCCTTTGGACCTTTTGTGTTGATGTCCGATGACATATGGATCTCATCTTTTTCTCCTAATGCAGACCCACGTAGCAGCTGGCGACCAGCTTGTCCACGGTGCCTTCCTGCAGAGTCTGGCATCCTTGGCAGTTGGTTTGTCCTTAGACAGACACCTGTGCTTTTACCCACGGCCCCCTCACCACACCTATCCCGATGCTCATTCCAGCGTGACGGAGTGGGCCTGGCTGCTCTCTTATGCTACTACTGTCCGCAGTGCTGAGGCTATTGCCAGTGGTACTTGCTTCCCCGAGTCCTTCATTGTTTCAGATTTTCAGGAGGAGCCGGATGCTAACATCACCAAGGCACTGGTAAGCAAGCATTAATGCTATGATTATTACATTATGATGATATGTAGTAACACCATCTACTCTGTTGAACTGTAAACCTTGTCATCTAGGACAATAGCAAGTGGAGTTTCAGTATGGATGAACAGCTGATGTCCTGGGCCACCCACAGACCAGAGGTAACATCCATTTAGGATCCGACAAACCAAACTTAACAAAAGCTCTCAGTCATTTTAGGCTGGTGAAATAGTATTAAATGTCCACATGTATTTTCTGTGTTCCTCAGGACTGGCAACAAGGAGGCAAAACTGAAGTCTATCTGTGGGGGAATGGGCGCTATGGACAGTTGGCAGGAATGGGAACGAACCTCACAACACCTACACCTGCAGCCTCTTTATTACAGACACAACAGGTAATCACCTTTTTGCCCAGTGTGTTGTCTTCGTTTGTGGCTGATACAATCTTTTTTCAAATACTTTGAATTTGATGGCTTCTTTTAGGTTGTATGTGGTCAGAACTGTACATTTCTGCTCCAATCCAATGGGACCGTTTTGGCTGTTGGAGAAGGACAATATGGTCGACTGGGTCAAGGGAATTCAGATGATCTCTACGTTCCCACCATTATCTCTGCATTTCAAGGTACAATTAGTGTTTTGGTCTTGTTTCAGAGTTTTTTTGCCACAACCAGACATAGGGAAAAAAATCTGCCTGTTATTTTGTTGGCATTCATGCAACAAGCGTTTGCTCAAAATACTTTTCTTTCTGAGGTGAGATTAAATGGCTCTGAAATCTGTGGACAGGGTACGTGGTGACGCAGTTGGTGACGTCTTGCGGCTCAGATGGACACTCTATGGCCCTGACTGAAACCGGGGAGGTTTTCAGTTGGGGAGATGGAGATTTTGGAAAACTGGGCCACGGCAACAGTGAAAGACAAAGGAGACCAAAACAGATAGAGGCCTTGCAAGGAGAGGAAGTTATCCAGGTACGCATCACCTCAGGGCTCTGAAATTCTTCATGGAAATTTCTGTTCTGTTTTGAGATAATAAGGCTGGAGCAGACCACCAGGACCGAGTAGGCAGTGCAGCAGCACGAGACGTTACACACAGGACCGGACCCAATTCGTTTAATCTACTCTGTGCATTACATTTCTGAAGAAATGTAGAAAGCCCGGAGCTGGAACAATCTTTGTCATCATAAGGAAAAGCTCTCCCTGATGCCTTTGATGGAAATCCTACATACAGACACAGTAATTTAACACATATCCAAATGCTCTGCTTGGTCTACATAGCTTTCCTGTGGATTCCGACACTCCGGTGTAGTTACAGCGGATGGCAAATTGTTCACCTTCGGCAGTGGTGAATCTGGGCGTTTAGGTCAAAGGTCAACATCCAACAAGATGCTGCCCGAAAGGGTGGCTGCATTAGAGGGATATCATGTAGGACAGGTGAGAAATGGACAGCTGGTGTTTAAGAAATACAGTTTCCATGAATTTGAGGACAACAATTCAAAGCCTAACTTGCATTTTCAGGTGTCATGTGGCCTCAACCACACATTAGTGGTGTCTCTGGATGGCATGGTAGTGTGGGCATTTGGAGATGGGGATTATGGCAAATTGGGAACAGGTTCCTCTACAGCCAAATACTACCCTCAGGTATGTAATAACAAGAACATTTTTTACTTCGGAATCCCCAACCATCTTCCACGTCAAAATAATGACTCTGTAATTACTGTGAGAAAACACTTAAACCAAGTGGTTTATTAAGTATTGTCTTTGTGTGTTTCTGTTTTTTAGAAAGTGGAGAACCTTTGCAACAAGGGAATTAAGAAAGTCTGTTGTGGGACTCAGTTTTCTGTGGCCCTGGCTTGTGATGGACACGTCTACACATTTGGACAAGGTACATTTTTATTATCATAGTAATTTGTGTTGTGAAGGGAGGAATGTCTATAAATGAGATGCTTAAAGTGAACTGCTCTGGTCAGGGTCTGACTGTCCTTTTTAAATTCTAAAAACTAAACAACATTTTTCCAGGAATTTCTTTACTGAGAGACATTGATTTATTTAGAATTTTTTAAACATTGTGATTTAAAAGATAAAGACATAAACAAAATGTTGTTTTAGTATACAATTTTAAAATAGTTACAGATTAAAAGCATGGCTAACTCTTTGAGATTGAATATTTGTCTTTGTTTCATTTGAAGAGGAAAGATCATTCATGATTTCATGTCTGAGAAATGTGATGTGAGATTAATAATGATGGTGGGATTTGTGGAATAAAGAAAATAAATTTGAGCCCTCATTTTGCTGTCTTTTGCCCGCCTTTCAGAGCGTCTGATTGGTCTACCAGATTCCATGTTGAAAAATAAAGCCACCCCCCAGGTGGTGCCGTCCCTGGAAGGATTGTTCATAGAGGATATTGCTGTTGGCTGTGAACATGTTCTCGCTCTTTCCTCCACTGGAGATGTTTACGCATGGGGCTGCAACAGCGAGGGACAGGTACCCGGCAGTCTGTATTAGGACACCAGGGACTCAGACAAAATGGAACTTTCAGTGGCATTCTTAACACTGCTTTCTGTGTGCCCCAGCTTGGCCTTGGACACTCCAATCCAGTGAAGGAGCCGATACTCATAACAGCCCTCCAGAGCAAACAGATCAGACAGATCTCTGCTGGCCGCTGCCACAGTGCAGCATGGACAACTCCCTCTACTTCCCTGAAAACCTCAGGTAAAACACAGCGTTAAAAAGTAGCTGTGCACACAGACTCAATATGACGCCAGCGAGAGACACACTTTTGACCATATTTTCCCCTCATTGGCAGGTGGCTCAGGACAGTTCCAGCTAGGCCTTCCCCAGTCAGTCCCTCCACAGTACAACACTCTGAAAGACTGCAGCCCTGATGTCCTCGGCATGCGCCTCAGGGTGCTCTACCACTTCTCTGATCTCATGTACAGATCCTGGAGGCTGCTTGATCTGGACTCAAAGAATCCGGTATCTCAGCGTCCCACCACTTTCCTTTAAATCTGTTCATGCTTGTGTGTTGTTTCATGTATAGCCTATTAGTCAGTTGTTCTTCATTAGATTTGCCTTTATCCTTTTTCTTCTTTGTGTCCAGATGTCCACTTCACGCTATAATTCAGGAACAGCAGCCATCATCCGGGGTGAACTCCGAGGCCTTCTATCACCCAAGGTCAACACTCTTCCTCTCGTGCGCTCCATCAGCAGGACAATGACCCAGGGTAAAACATATGGGCCACAGATCACTGTCAAGCGGATATCCACAAGGTAAGGATGACCACGATGTTCAGTCCATTGGCCGGAATTGAATGTCTTTGGGGTTCAGCTGGTGGAAAAGACAGGAGGTGGCCAGAACAGCTTGCTGCTTTTCTAACCGGCCAACCAGACTTAATAATGACATGTCAGGACTTTTGTGTGGCACGTCGGTGGTTTTGCTTTAAAAATATTGAATGCAACTTTTTATTGTTTTTTAATAATGTCCCCTCCATTTTATTCCCACAGAGGGCGGTCGAGCAAGCCCATCTTTGTGCAGATTGCAAAGCAGGTAGTGAGCCTCAACCCTCTTGAGCTGCGACTACCATCACGAGCCTGGAAGGTCAAGCTGGTGGGGGAGGGCGCTGACGATGCCGGCGGAGTGTTCGATGATACCATCACTGAGATGTGCCAGGTAGAAGAAAAAATAAAGCAGGCCTGAAAACAACAAACATTTTCGATAATGTTGTTTAAACCATTACCTGAGTTATGGAAAATGTGTTTGTTTACCCCCAGGAGCTGCAGTCAGGTGTGGTGGATCTTCTGATTCATACACCCAACAGCTTTGCAGATGTGGGCAGCAACACTGACAGGTGCGCACTTTTGGCCTTCTTGAAAATGTAGCAAAATATCCGATAATCAGAAATTATCTTTTCTTCTGAAAATGGCTCTTTTTGTTTAGGTTCTTGCTCAATCCAGCAGCACAGTCAGAAGATCATATGGTCCAGTTTCGCTTCTTGGGGATCCTTATGGCTGTAGCCATCCGAACTAAAAAGCCCCTTGATTTACATTTGGCTCCTTGGGTGTGGAAACAGCTTTGCTCTATGCCTTTGGGAGGATCTGACCTGGAGGAGGTAGACCTGCTCACACACCGCACCCTTCAAGGCATCCTTCACTTGGAGAACAGCGGAATCAACGAAGACAATTTCTATGTGGTGAGATGCTGTTAAAACCAAATATCGTGTAGGTGTTTCTGATTTTCAGCCCTTCACTTTCTCATCTGTGTTATCTCTTTATCACATGTCGGGGCAGATGATTCCTCTGGATTCGTTTATGGCCCACAGTGCAGATGGAAGGCTGGTGCCTGTGGTACCTGGAGGCCAGAACATTTCCCTGACTTTTTCCAACAGAACTGATTATGTAGAGAGAGCTCTGGACTACAGACTGCATGAGATGGATTCACAGGTTTGAGGCTTGAAGTGTTGAATGATTTCCATACTTTACTAGTAGATTAGAACTGGTACATTTGCAAACTAAAACATAAAATGATTAGTATATGTAAAGATACACAAACACTGACAACAAACAATACAACAAACAATACTACTAAATCAAGGTAAGACCAGGAAGGAACATCAACAAAAAAGTTAGTTTGAAGTCATATTGTTTTTTCCCAAGTTTCTAACTATTTGATCTAATGGGATTTTGAGCAGTCACAAAGTTAAAATTATTGGAAAATCTGTTCTTCATAATCTTTATTTTTAGTAGCCCAAAGATCTGTAAGTACAGATGAATGAATTATGAATAACTGGAAGTTCAAACAAAACTTAAGCAACTTGATTAGACTTGATGGAGTAAATAAAGTGGCACCTTTGGACGTTGGGATGACACTTTAAAACTTTTCATAGGCCTAGCCCATAATTTGAGATTTCGGGTATATTTTCTGTCACTTCTCCCTTTCCTGCACACAGATGTATCCCTTTTAAACAACCAGTCTGTCCATCAGTTTCTGTGAGTGTTCAGTGGACAGCCTGATTGTTGCTGCCGTCTCACCCCCTGAAGCATCAAAGCTGAGTTTGTTCTGTTCCGGCCAGGTGGCTGCAGTCAGAGAGGGCATGTCCACCATCATCCCCGTGCCCCTCCTCTCCCTGCTGACAGCTCAGCAGCTGGAGCAGCTCGTCTGTGGCTTGCCGGAGGTCTCTGTTGAGATGCTGAAGAAGCTGGTGCGCTATCGTGATATCACCGAGAGCCACCAGCTAATTGGCTGGTTCTGGCAGAGCTTGGAGGAGTTCACCAACGAGGAGCGGGTGCTTTTCCTACGTTTCGTCTCTGGCAGGTCAAGGCTGCCTTCCAACCCAGCTGATATAACACAGAAGTTCCAAATCATTAAAGTGGACAGGGTGAGGCCGTTTAAACAAAGGTTGTTAGTGATGTAAGATTTAGAAAAACCATCTGCAAAAATAATAATTTTCTACATCTCGCATTTAGCCAATCAACGGACTCCCTACCGCGCAGACCTGCTTCTTCCTGCTTCGCTTGCCGCCGTACACAAGCCAGGCCGTCCTCGCCGAACGTCTCCGTTATTCAATTCACAACTGCCCCTCAATCGACATGGACAACTACATGCTGACCCACAACACTGACCCAGCGGACAGCTCAGACACTGAGGACTAAAGCTGGAAACGAGAGGGTCATGAATGTAACTTCTCTGATGCCATGCACATTGCACTGAACACAGATTTTTACTTTAGGTTAGCGTTCTGTTTATAGGTTGGTTGATTTAAAGATAAATGTGGTTTTTATTTTCCAGCTGTGCACGATGTTGAAATTATTGCAGCAGTATTAGCAGGAGACAGAAAAATGATTTTTAAAATGATAGGTGAGTAAGCCACAATAATGGACTCTATGTGCCTGTTTGTTTGAAAATATATAATAATTTAACGACATCAAATACTGTTGTCATTGTAAAATAAAGAGTGTTTAAATAAGTATTCTGCTATGTGTTTTTTCTGTAGACACTGTGCACAAACTAAACAAGCATGTAGTTGGGGGATTGGTGCCAGTGATCAATGTTCCTCTGACCCTCTGAACAACACCGACAGAACTGAGGACACCCAAACGGAATCAGGGATGAAGATTGTCCAAAAGCCTTTCGGGCACAAAAAATAAAAACAGTAAAGCAATTACATTTATGAGGAGTCATTAAAGATTAAAAAAAGGGTTTTCCTGTGCTGAAATGATTGCAAAAGCAGCAACAAAAATAAGTTGCTTTTTGTTCTTTTATTGATTATTTTCCATCAAAGACTCTGCAGCTCTTCTTAATTAGGAGTGTGTTGTAGTGTTTACGTTTGACCCACACTGCAGAGGATTTGGGAAAATAAAAGATATATTTTCTTTCAAATATTGCTGGAGCCGAATTGTTGTGAAGTGTGTGATGTTTTTCCAGAAGAGCCTTTCTAATTTCAGATCCATAAAGATACAAGTTTTTAAAGGCTAATATAATTACAGTGAGGTAAAAAAATGATTAATTTAAAAAGAAAAATTAACGCTTACACAGATGTGAGATTCCAGCTTCTGCAGAAATGAATGCCGCTTCCCATTTCTAGTATAAAGCAAGCTGAAAAGAAGGTTTTGAGGCCTGTTTTTTAACAATTAACTTCAGCTCCAGATAAAAAGAGAATACAAAACGGACAGCAACAACTTCTCTGTTTCACAAAGATGTTTCTTAATCCAATTCCCCCGAGTTTAATGTTGTCCTGAGTCAGCACAGCTGGTGTGTTTGCAATTTGTCCGTGCTAGTGAGACGTCTACTGTGACCTTATTACCCATCTGTTTCCCTGTGAGCTGTGTGGCCAGTATGGCAAAATTCAGCCTGCCGTCAGCAGCCCTGCAGCTGAAAGCATGAGTGTTTCTCATGAGAAGCCTTGCTGGGTATAAATATAACATCCATCTATCAACCTAGCAAGTACACACACTTGGAAAGGCCGGGGAAAGGGGGAAAAAAGTTGCCAGTGATTTGTTTCAGGTGTCTGGTGCAGCTTTGTTGGACTGCCTTAACTTACCGAAGGGGAAGCAGGTGTGAGCAGGTATTGTGTATCAAATCCCTTTTCTAAATATCGATGTAATTTCGGCATATACAGAGAGATATAGGCCAACACTAAGATCAAGGAGATGTTGTGTAGATCATCCCACACAAACATAGCCACAAAAACGCTGAAGCTGAAATTAAGAGCTGAATCAGGACAGTGATTTAAATCTGATTTAGACCTCTACCAAAGTCAGATTAGACCCAACAGGTACTTTGCTGAAACTCTTTATTACATGATACATTTTGTTTAGTTTCTTCCGTTTCTACAGAATTGATTGGATTAAACAAAGGAACATTTTCAATGAAGACTAAAACAATTTTTGAATTCCCAGAATAACTGTTCACACGCTTTGCCAGTAAACCCTTCCAAAAGTTATGGCTTTTCTGCTTTTTTTGGCTTGGGAAACCCCCCTCCCCAAAAAAACAACTGATGGGTCAACCTTTAAAAGTTTAAAGATAGACTTAAAGTATTGCTGCAATTCCACAGTTGTAACCTATGTCTCTGATCAGTGTAGAAACCTTTTTGTCTGGCAGTATTTATTGATTCCAGAGGAGGGCAGTCTGATTGTTGCACCAAACCAAATTCAGCAGACCACAGCAATGAGCAGACGTCATTCTCAGACACACAGACACACCTGCGTGGCGGATGATGTAGCCTTCTGTCAGCTAATCTCTGTCGCACTGTTTCTCCCACTCTGCATTTGATCCCTACGTACTGGATCTTAAACTGTTTCTGCTCAAGTGACTGCACTAATGCGGGCCAATTCAAACTTAAGCAGAACTGACACATGATTTGCTCAATAGTGCCAGTATTCTTTAACGGTCATGTAAATCTCTCTACCACAGCCACTAACTTTACACGGTGAATCATTTTAAAGAACTGCTGGTGTGACTCAACCCTTATGTGTCCAATTATGTGTACATGTTAGCAGTATGTAGTGGTACAAGAGGTGATTCCTACCCACAGCAATAGAAATTAAATATAGCATTTTTTAAATATCACATTAAGAATGTGCAGACAATATTACATTTTAAATTAAAAAAATAATATGTTAAAAAAAATTACATTTATATGGTTTTTGGGGATGGGGTTACATTATGTCAAAGACCCAAACAAAGATGTCAGATATAAAAAGCTTTTAATTTTTTCCCATTTTCATCCATGGGTCCGGGTTTAGAGGGTAAACAGAGGTTTAGGTCGAAGACACATGATAGCGAAAATATAAATGCAACAAGTCTATGATTTAAACAACAATAGTAAGTGAACTAGTATTTGATAAAAAAATCCTTTGGCAATCTTCTTAGCTCTGACTTTCACCTCAGCCAGGCAGCACATCTGAGGAGGAAAAGCCCTGAGCTCAAGCAGTTTCTGTTTTACTATAACCACTTTCTACTCAACACACAAGATGATATTTTTGTGTGAGGTGCAATATTTTTCACGCCCCTGGGGAGAGAAGCAGGTCTCTCCTTCCTGAATTTTTAATTAGTCAATGGAGGCTGTGACCTACATAGTCTCATTGAGGCAAAACAGGAATGTGACTGGTCACCTGATCCCCTTCACACACCCACACACACACACACACACACCACCAACCACCACCACCTCCCTCTCCCTTCCAAAATCAGAGGAGCTCATTTCATCTAGACAGTGAATGGATGAGTGCCGCTGTGAAAACAAGGGCACTTGGTTGCGGGTCATTGAATTGGTGTGACGTGATGTGTGCCTGGGATGCTAAAGGCCTTGTTTTGAATACACTGGCTGGCACCCTCTCGGCTCTTATTACAGGGACAGGACAGGCGGCGTGTGACCCGTGTACCTCAGAGACACTTAAGACTCTGGTACTGTTTCAGCCCGTGATGTCATGCGGATGTTGTTGCCGGCTTGCCAAATAACTGAGAGGCTGCCGTGATGCGTGCCAGATGGAAGACTAAGCAGACTTGAGGACATGCAACATGGGTCAAAGTTTGCGTATCTGATTTATGAGCTGACAAAAAAACTAAGTTGCTGGAGGTACTTAAATCTGAGTGGCCCTACTCAGAAGACCGTCCCCCAGTTAGACATGTTGGCAAGTGCGTAAAAATCTATTACCAGTTTCCTTGGCAAGACAGATGTTCGTGCTTCTGAACTGTGAGTGTCATAACAACTTGTAGGGCAACAGCAAAGCTTTACATTTCTTAATAATTTATGTCAACTAAAAGCAAGCAAAAATCTAAATCAGCAGAAAGAAACATTTAAACAGAACGGTTAATATAGTAGTTTTAAAAAAATTGAATTGGGGGTCTGAATTTAAGTGATGATGTTTTTGTCACTCGCAGGAAACATTTTCACAACTTTTGCCTTCTGGTTTTGTCAACATGAATACGATAGTAATTGATTTTGATTTCCATAATACAACAAAATATATATATATATTTTGTATATTTCAAAGGCTTCAAAGTTAATTAATCCTGCTTTCATTAACCCTCCCTACACAGAAGGAAGAGGATTATAAATATCTATCAACAGATAGATTTGCCTTTCTATGCAAAGGCCTGTAGTATGTGTATTTTTTATTTTTGCCACGCACACTGTAAATTAAAGCATACATCTGTGTGAAGTGATTTGCTCAGGGGGGAATGGTTGTCTATCCCTTTGCCACCTACTGTACATCCAAACAGAACTGGCACATTACCTCTCATTACTTTGAAACCCAAGCTCCACAGTGCTTTCATCTTTTTCTTTAATTTTCTTTGTTAAACTTTAATGCTTCGGCTGCCTCCCTGCAACTTTTGCAGCGATGCTCAATACCATTACCTCAGTGACGGTCTAATTTCTGCATGTGGGTCATCAGACGACTAATCTCTTTTGAAGAGTGATTTCCCCTCCAATCTGACTGTGGTTTCGCAGGCAAAGGCAGATGCAAAAACACCAGATGTGATTTCCTTTGCCACAATTGTCCTTTGTAGGTTAAAGTGAAGCAGGACATGACCCATTATTGACTTAGATAAGGACATATTTAATACACTTTGTTTGTTTTTTATTAACCTCTTCAAACAAAGGACATCTACTATATATTTGACTATATGTGAAACTACACTGCCACTAAGAGAAACATATGATGATTCTAAAGCTACCCATTTTCCACACAACACCTGAAGACACATCCCCATCCCGCCCCATTTTCGAGTAAAAGTCAGTAAAACTGGACAACAGAAACTCCTCGCGGATCCGTATTTCCCTTTTGCTTTTCCGTGTTGACATATGTCCTCACAGTGAAATGTCTGTCGAGTTGGATGAACTGCATAGGTGTTAAAGATCTCTGGCTTATAAACACACCCATATTTGGCTCACGGTCAGTTCCTCCTCATCAGCGGCTGGGGCTGGTCCTCTGGAGGCTGGGAGAGGGCATCCGCACCGCCTCAAACAGCCAAAAACTGCCCGCCACCAGAAGTTGGAGGCCAATTCCGAACAGCAGAGCTTTTATTTCTGTAACACGTTACACAACATCTTACCCCCGTCTATCTTTTTATCTGTTAATGATGGGGGAATTGGAAACCCTTTTCATATTCTCAGTACACAGGAACATCTGGTAGGTACCATCTGGTCATGTTGCTGTCAGATGGGTTTGACCATGATTATTTGTAAAACAAAAAAGAGATGCATAAATGTGCAAGCTGGCAGAGCTAATTTTATTTCCAAACACAGGAGATGGGGTGAAATATAAACACTTTATATATATCATATTGGATGGTAAGAAAAGGGAAACCTTGTTTCAGTGTCTCGCTTATTTAAAATAAATAAGGCAATGCCTTGACTAGTCTAAGAAAATTATCTGGTGTTGGCATTAGGGCCCACAAATGTATATTTTTTTCTGGGACAACATAACCCCATAAATCTCTAACATTAAGAA